AGTTGGTCGAGAGGGCGGCGTTTATTAGAATTAATCCGGTAATACCATTCATAGATCTATTAAATTGGATAGTTTAGGCTGAGAAATAGCGGATTTAAACGAGCTTAAAGATGAAATATTGCGAATTTCATTGGGGAAGAGATTTCCATTTCCACAACGTAACTACTCGATTTGTAAAAAAAAAATTTAACCACTTTTAGACAAAATAGGATTACGTTTCAAAAGGCGTTTCAAAAAGCCGGCTTCTAGAGGCCGACTGCCTTGGATTTAACGAAAGAAACTTTCGAAAAAGGGGGATTATGGTAGATCCCTTTAACAATTTTAAAGCATTCAATCTGATAAAACTATTGTTGGTTTAGAGTTTCAAGAGTGACAGAGCTTGAGTCTATGTTTAGATCGCAATGGAATATTTATCAAAATCTTACTATTTTATAGTTGATTAGTTGAAGTTTAAGCTGAAAAACCAGTTCATTTTTCGAAGTTACCAAGTCAACAAGAATTGTTTCAAGGTTATCAAGTCAAAAATTGTTTCATCTGATAAAGCTATCGTTGGTTTGGTGTTTCATTAGTTTTCGTTTTTAGTTTTATTTCATTTCATTATATGTTATATGCAGTTATGATTATCTGGTTCGCTTCTATTCGCCCCCTGAATAAAGAATATACCGTAAATACTGTAATAGTACCCCACCCCCCGCGTACAATCGCGTAGTCGCAAAAGTTTTTTAGTATTTCATTTTTTTCCAAAGCACCCGTACTTTCAAAAAATGAGTCTTTGGTATCAAAAAATAGCCCTGAATTTCAGCTATTTTTTGATACCTAAGCGCGCATTGTAGCATAAATCAGTGTCGAGAAAAACTCGTTCAAAGCTAGACTACGCCCCACTCCGCACCGTCATTATGGGGGTGGGGTACTATTACAGTATTTACGGTATATTATATTACATATGCTTGAGTCTATGTTTATATCCCAATAGAGTATTTATCAAAATATTTTTTATACAAAACAAAAGCAGAAATGTTTCTGCACTTTCTTAAGCTTTGAAATAAGAAATTTAGAAGAAAAGGGCTATAGAATATTCAAAAATTCTAGAATTCAAGAAATTTCTATTTAGCTTTTCGCGTGTAGCGTAATAAATCTTTAATAATTGAGAAATTACGATCAAAAACGTTTCAAAAGAGATTCTATTACGTTTGAAATATTCTTTTAATTGTTTAGGGTTTTAAATCTTTTATTTTAATTCCTTTAAATCTTTAAATTGTTGTAAACTTTCCCGAACTTACCCTTGATCTTTTTTTCTTCACGGTGGCATCCTCGGGTGACAGTTTTTCTAAAAAAAAACTTTTAAAAAGCCTGAAAGTATAGCCTGAAAAACGTGGCTAAAAGGTTTGATAAGAAAAATGAAAATTTAGAATCTAAATTACTGAAAATTTGAATGAGCAGAATTAAAATTTTAAAAAAAACCCTGGCAAATAGCCAAAAATATTGAAACAAATGATTTTTTAAAGAAATCAATGGAAAATTGAATGTATGTCATCAAAAATAGAAAAATAGATAGAAATTTGATCCATAAATTCAAAAAAATTTTTAAAAAGAGGGTTTTGATGTTTTCCTTTTACAATTTTAAAGGGGAATGGGACAAATGCGACCTTTTTTTTTGCGCACCCGGACATTTGCGCACCTTTTTTTCCGCACTTGGCCCATTAGCGCACCTTTTTTTCGCCTTTTAAAAAAGCTCTAAAAGCTAATATTAACCAATTTCTATTCCAAAAGCTGTTTTTCTAGGTAATTTGAGGGTGTCGAATTCAAATTTTGACATATCAGAGCTTGTGGAACCAATTTGAAAGACAAAACGGCTAGGTCAAATTACAGAAAATTGTTGATTTTTCTCTTTGTATAACTCCGTCCGTTCGCTTCCACAAGCTCTGATATGCCAAAATTTCGATTCTACGCCCTAAAATTACCTAGAAAAACAACTTTTGGAATAGAAATTGGTTAATATTAGCTTTTAGATCTTTTTTAAAAGGCGAAAAAAAGGTGCGCTAATGGGCCAAGTGCGGAAAAAAAAAGGTCGTATTTGTCCCACTCCCTTTTAAAGCACTCAACCAAATCTATGATAAGACGGCGCTATTCTAAGGTTTCAAGTGAGAAAAGTTTCAATCTATGTTTATACATCTATGAATGTATATCTAAGAATCTAAATTGCTGAAAAATTGGATTGTTAAAACAGTCAAAATAGATACAAATAGCCAAAAATATTGAAAAAAATTATTTTTTTAAAGAAATTAATGAAAAATTGAATGTATAATCATCAAAAATAGAAAAATAGATAGAAATTTGATCCTTACAAGTTAAAAAATCTTCAAAATTCTTTTATGCACATTTTTGAAGTGGTTTCGGAATCGAATTCTTCTTGAAAAACTTGATTGGAGTGGATTTAGCCAAAAAAAGAGTCATTTTTCAAATTCAAAAAGTTAATTTTTAGCAAGAATTTTCTAAAAACCTCCCAAAATAAGCAACTTTCTCTTCCGGAGCTCTTGATTAGCTTGATTTGATTTTTAAAAAAAGAAAAATCCTTTTAACTATTCTTGAAGAAAGCGTTTGACTTGTGTTTATTGGAATTTCTTGAATTGAAATTTGTTTGACTTTTCAGACTTTTCAGGACATTTTTTTCTTCCTTTTCTTTCTTTTCCTCTTTTTTTTTCGTTCATTTTCTTTCCCACACTCGATTAATTGAAAGCATTTCTGAAATGGGTAAAATTGGGAAAAGAAATTGAAGGAAGAACGTCCAGAAGATTCAGAAGATCTAGAAGAGTTTAAAGAGGTTTTATGTATCATAAGAAAGTTCAAGAAAAGCTCTTTTATTATCTCGAGGCTTTGAAGAAGACAGAGAAATTTTAAATGTTTCAACTTGAGACACGTTGCTTTATTTAACGTGTCACGACAATGTTCTTGATTGTAGTTTTATTTGTAGTTTTTTTGTAGTTTTTGACCTATTACATCATAATTAACTAGTCGTTAGTTCGCTCACAAAGGTGTCTGGCTGACCATTTCCATCCTGGGTATTTCCATTTCCATCTCGATCACGATCGTCACGGAAATGGAAATACCCAGGATGGAAATGGTCAGCCAGACACCTTTGTGAGCGAACGCCTATTGTGCGGGATTTAAGCTATCCGTTCAACTCCATTTTGTGCAACACAAGACCAACGCTAAAGTTCTGTATAAAAGCAATGTGAACGAGCTGCCGAGGTGTGCCGTGAAGTCGTCTCTACTCTCCCAATCCCAAATCACTGAACCAACTATTATTGCTGTAATAAAGATTATATCTAAACAAACAATAATCACTAAAAACATCAAGACAGGAAAACAATAGATTCCATTAAGAAATCAAAGCTACAGACCAATAGCAAGAAAAACAAAAACAAAAACGAAAAGTGAAGCTAAGTGATTCTGTGAAGTGAAGAGACAATAAATTATTGTCAATATTATACAAATTTGCTAGGCGATGCGGAACAATAAAACATTGAAATCATTAAGTTATCTGAGTGTTTATCTCAGATGCAATTAGCTAAAATATAGCGATAATCAGTATTCATTAAACTGGCTATAGCTATTATTAATAAATTGTAAAATTGGAGTCGAATAACTTGAAACAATGGCTTTTTAAAATAACAAATCTAATAGTTTTTCTGATTTCCTTTAATCAAAAAAAGGGAAATCAAAAGAAGAAGAGAGGAGAATACTCGCACCTCCATCCTTTTTTCTTATCCTCAAAGAATTGAGACTTCTTTTTCCCACAAACCAATCTCATTATTACCTCACATCTCCACCACATGCTGTTTCTTTTGCTTTTTTGCTCAACTCATCCGGAAGATATGTCGTGAAAGTTTTGAAATAAACTAAAACATAGAAAGTAATCGTAGGCATCTATTAGAGTTCAAACTATCAGACATTCTATCGATTCGATTAACAACGGACACAACAACAACAACAACGATCCGTTGGTGAGTGATATTGATTTTAATTGTCTAACAGTCTGATTCTATCTATTACTTTCCGATAAATCCCTGGATGCTGTCAAGACTTTTCTATTGCAGAATCACAAAAGCTCAAGTTTTTATGGGCTAAAATGTGTGTTTCATTATGTCTTTAATCAATTTTTTTTTACGAAAACACTAGCGTTTGATTAAAGACAGTAATGTTGAAGCAAAAAGATTAGTGTTTCAACTTAAACGACTTTTAGGTGATCCGATTGAAGTTAATGAAACAAAGAAGTTGCTAATCAAGTTTCATTTTTGATAAATAAATTAGCAAATTTTGATAAAAGCAGAAGACTGAGAAAAGTTTTTAGCATAGTTTAGTTAACTCCCTCTGGAGTAAAGGAGCATTGGTGCATTGTGGTGTAATGGTTAGCACACTTGCCTGGTAAGCGAAAGGTCGCCGCTTCGATGTCCCGGCGATGCACAAGTTTTTGATCTACCCTAGTTCCAACTGTTTTTTATAGCAACGCTTGATCGATCGAAGTTACCAAGTCAGCCAGAATTGTTTCAAGTTTATCAAGTCAAAAATAGTTTCGAATTAACTCAAAAGCAAGAATATTTATTTATTTAATGTTTTTTTAGCTCTTTGTTACCCTTTTTATGGATATTATTTGCATAAAAACTCAAAAAGTGCTTCGAATTTTTCATTTTCATCAAAAAGCTGGTATGTTATAGTTTTAAATTCTATTTAATCCTTTAAGATTTTATATTTTTTTTAAAACATAAATTTCTTTTATTTTTAAATATGTTTTTACTATTTCAAAGTAGAAAAGTTATAGGAAAATCGAGTTTTGCTTAGAAGAATTTGCTTAAGTTTCAAAGGTATCAAAGACTAAGTCAAAGTTAAGATACCAATGCCTGAGGACTCACGAGCAGATTCTTCATTTATTTCTAAAGCTGCAAAAGTAAAAAATGAACTAATGTGTTACACTCGACGCTCTGGGCAACTACCTCTGCTTATTGCTTAGCCTTGCGGCGAAGCGGCTCCACTTCTTTACACTTCCCCTCAACGCTCTGAAAAACATTGTTATCAAATTCTGTAATCGTCGTTGACGTACATTAAACCAGTTCTTTTCAAAGAACTCATATCTCGTGCCGGAAAACATGTAGGGCAAATAGCGACCATCTGAAAACCCGACAACCAAGCTAGAAACAAGAAAGAAATTTCATCGTTAACAAAAATGACAAACGTGATGTCTTGATAATATTCCTCTTTCGAAACCCTAGTTTTTCCATGTTTGCTCCTTTGTTTTCTGATACGAATACGACAAAGCAGTGTGTTCCTGTCGACCGGATGTTGCAACACAGAAAACAGCTCTCTCGCAACATTAGCTTGTTGATTAGCGTCTTCAATTAGCTTCTTCACCTCTTCAATCGAGACGCTTTTCCTAAAAGCCGTGGTTCTTTTCCTAAAAGCCGTGGTCTTCAATCAACAAACTTTTTTTCCAGCTCTTCTTGCTCAACAAGTTGCTTCGCTTCGATCATCTTTGTATCGATCTCGATCTGAAAAGGGTCTAAACTTATTTTTTTCTTAAAAACAAATTTATTGGGAAACCAATCTATTTAAAAATTAAAATCAATATCACTCACCATCGGATCATTCTTGTTGTTGTCTTCGTTGTTCATCTTTGATAATTTTTTTGGTATTCTGAATTGAATCTGAATCTGAATTTTTTTTGCTTTGAGAGGCGAGAACGGGTTGGAACTGGGGAGTTAGTTTGAAAACACAAGAAGAAATTAGAGTGATGATTTCGAAATAATCTTTTTCTGAACAATAATAGGACAAAAGCTTATAAAATCTTTCAGATATCTTAAAACTTGGAAAGGCAACGTATTGAATGGCAAAATAAGAAATGAGCGGTCAATTTTCGATAGGAAATAGCTTGGTGGATATGTAACCAAATTTTAGGTTCTATGTCTAGCTTTGTGGCCAAAATAGTTCTAGACAAAAAACCGAGAAAAACCTAAAAACAGTTCTTTTTGGAAAAAAGCTAACTTTTTAAAGAAAGTTTGTTTCACATAAGTCACCAGAAAAGTCTAAAAGGTGATCAATAAAAAGTTCTTATGTTCTTTTGATGAAGAAGTTCCTATGTTCTTCTCAAGAAGGATTGGTGACAGCTATGCCTGGTCATCAATCCAATGATAAGGAGGAAAGCGGAGAAGAGCGGAATGGGGCAGAGTAGCTTCTCCCCTTTATCGATAGATCATTTTCCCGCCTTTTTCCCGCAATCCCGCAAACCTATCTTTGTGTCAATCGATAATTTGCTCTATTGGGCCTCCCCAGATCACAAATCACAGATCCAGATCACGAAGAGAAAATGACTCACCATTCTGATCGAAAAAGGCAAGCTTTCCCTTCCATTTCACCCAAGGGACCTTTTTTGACACGTGGCACCTTATCAAAAAACTCTCCCCCCTTCCTTTCCCTTCTCTTTGTGATCCTTGTACTCCATAGATTGTCATCAAACACTCTTTTCACAGTATCGTCACTTTTACAAAATAAAAATTGCACAGGGTGACCACACCCACTTTTCATTGCATTCATTTCATTTTAAAGCTTAACCAAGTCGAGGGACGTGGCGAAACTTTCACTTTTTGATTCACTTCATCCTCGACCACGATCTTCGAACAGAAGATATTATAACATTCTTTGCATTTTTTGATATTATAACAACCTATCGTTTGCTAGATTGTTGCACTTTGCTAGCACATCGTAATTTATAAAACAAGTTCGAACCTGACTGTTCCTTGAGAAAAAGATCTTTGTATTGGCCCCGAATTTTGCTTTATATCAATGTTGTAGCCTGAACATCTCGACATTCTTTATTATTGATCACCTTTTAGACTTTTCTGCTCGCTTCTGTGAAACAGAACCTTCTTTGAAAAGTTAGCTTTTTTTCCAAAAAGAACTGTTTTTAGGTTTTTGTAGGTTTTTTGTCTAGAACTATTTTGGCTACAAAGCTAGACATAGAACCTAAAATTTGGTTAAATATCCACCAAGCTATTTCCTATCGAAAATTGACCGCTCATTTCTTATTTTGCCATTCAATACGTTGCCTTTCCAAGTTTTAAGATATCTGAAAGATTTTATAAGCTTTTGTCCTATTATTGTTCAGAAAAAGGTTATTTCGAAATCATCACTCTAATTTCTTCTTGTATTTTTAAAATAACTCCCCAGTTCCAACCCGTTCTCGCCTCTCAAAACGAAAAAAATTCAGATTCAGATTCAATTCAGAATACCAAAAAAATTATCAAAGATGAACAACGAAGACAACAACAACAATCATCCGTGGGTGAGTGATATTGATTTTAATTTTTAAATAGATTGGTTTCCCAATCAATTTGTTTTTCTTAAGAAAATTCAAAAATAATTTCAGATCCCTTTACGAGACAGAAACACAATGATGATCGAAGATGCAAAGATGACCCCGAGAGAAAAACAAAGGATGAAATTGATATATTTAATGAACCACTTGAAATATTATTTCTGTGTGGACGTGATCAACGTACCGATTTGTCGTAATTGTTGCAGAAAACAAAGGAGCAAAAAAGGAAAAACTAGGGTTTCGGCAGCGAAATATCTTCAATATTTCCCTTTTCAGATCCACATCGGCAGAATGATGATCGCAGCGAAGGAATTTGTTGAGATCGCAGAAGAGCTGGAAAAAAAGTTTGTTGATTGAAGACTTTAGAACCACGGCTTTTAGGGCAAGCGTCTCGATTGAAGAGGTGAAGCGGCTTGGCGACAAGGCTAAACACCTAGCAAAGATTGTGGGAGGGATTTTTTCTGTGCAAAAATGGAAAGGAAACAAGAAAATGGAAGGAAAAATGCAAATTTCCAAGTGAGTTTTAAGTGAGCGAGAGAACCATTTATCAAGTTTAGATGCACATTCGAGCAAGTCGATCAGTGGTGCAAAAAGGTAAGGAATTGAAAAGTTTCGAAATTGTAGCATTTCCATGTTGCAGATACTGCTGGATGAAGAAGTGAAGGAGTCGATCGATATGATGAAGAATATCAAGAATGAAAAACAGCGCCTTTGGTCGAAATTGAAAAGAACGCTGCCCGTTTTCGATCTGAATGGTGAGCCGTTTTCTCTTTGAAAGGAGAGAAAAACTTACAGAAATCATCTCGAAAATCGAAAAATTCGATAAGGATATCATTTATGCATTCACGGATGGAAGCTGCAAGATTGACAAGAAAAACAGCATGAACGACGCTTCGGGCGTCGGGATTATAATTATATTTACGGAAACGGATCATCAACGGATAATCACGATGTACGATGATGTTCTTTTTCTATCAGTTAGACGATAGAAATTTTAAAATAAAAATAGATTATATCAGTATTATAGGTGCGGTCCCATTTTTCCTCCTCCAGACGGTCACAGTAGCCAGTATGCCGAGCGATTTGCGATCGAGACGGCCCTTGAAGAGATCTATCTATGGGAGGGTTATGTTGGGTAAGCAAAAACACAAATGCAACGAATTAATTCTGCGGAATCACAATAGGCGATACCTTTTCGGACCGTTTTAGCTACAAACGAATCTAATAAAACCCTAAATCTGAAAGACTCTCTTTGCTCGAAAGAAGAGATTGAAAGAATCAAGCTAATCAGTGCATGTTGGTCCAATGACCCAAATACATTGTATTGAATATTGTACAATAATTTATTGCAAAATATTTTTCCTATTCAGATTCATTCATTCATTTAGACAGAAAGTCGTGATTTTTACGGACAACCTCGAGGTCGTCAAGGCCTTTAAGCAGTACAAAGAAAGGGGAACGGCCGGGGACGTCTGTAGTCTCGACTTTAACCAGATGAAATCGAGAAATAAGTGAGTTATGGGCACGATTAGATGAAAATCAAGTCTTTTAGATATTTTCCCATCTACAAACTTGTCCAACTTTTCCGTGTTGACAAGGACAAAGTTCCCATGTTCAATCTGCAGTTTGAAAATGTGTACTCAACTCACTCAGGTGAAGATGTGAACAACCGAGCATCGACCAAGCCAGGAAATCCGGGCAATGAGAAGGTTGAAACCTTGAAAATTATAAGCAATTGGGCAAGTTCAGGCCGACAAGCCGATGGCCGACGAGCGACCAGCTGGACGACGGCCTGGTTCACTCATCAAATCACCGATGCGGCTGTCGAGGTGCCGGGGCTCGACTCCGAGGGGTTCGACGCCGTCCTTGGATCAGAGGAAGAGGACCCGACGTTGACGGACCGTACCAATGCTATGGATATGGATTGAATAGCATAAAGTAGAGTTCGGCAAACAAAACTAAAACCAAAACAGACCAAAACAAAACCAAAACAAAACTCAATTTGCATATAAATTAACATGTAAATTTTGTAAAATGCAAATTTTAATGTAAAATGCAAATTTACCTTTCATTTTTTCTCACTCCCCAAAATCTCGCGGCCGAAAAAAGGACCAAAACACGGCCTCGAAATTTCGAAACAAAAAATAGCATATGGGATAGATTTTTGGACGCTGATTTCAAATCTGCAATCAGATTTTCGCTAGCTCCTCCCAATCGCAAGATATTGGCGAGTTTTGGTTAGTTTTGGTTTTGGTTTTGGTTAAGTTTTGTTTTCCGAAGTCTAGTATAAAGGAAAAATAGCAATATCGTGTTTATTCTAATAGAAGACCACCGCCGTGACCTCTTAAAATCGAGGACTTTTTGCAACTTCTTTTTAGGTAGAATGATAGATTTGGGTGCAGATCGAAGTATTTTAGCATTGACAGTAAATATGAAAACGTGATTTTTGAAAAAATTTGGCATGTTTTGGGCTATCGTTTAAAATCGTTTTTAACAGTTTTCAAAATTTTGATTCCTGTGGGAGACCCTTATCTACTTTTTTGCCCGTCTTCTTCTATTAGAATAAATACGGTATGTTACGTGACTGACTAGCTAAGAGCTCTGTATTTATTTTGGTTTAATCCCATTTAATCGTTTATTCGTCTAGATTATTGGTTCCTCTTTCCTTTTGATTTTGATTCAATTTGATCTTTTCATTCAATATGGGTTTTTTTGTCTTTCCTACATTTAGAGCGTGGTGCTTCTGTGTTGTTTGTATCACATTATTTGTATGGATCAATGTATCTTTATACCACAGTCCTATGTCAAATCACGAGCGATTACGCGGCCGCACAAAGAACACCTAGCCCGTCATTTTACACAATGGTTTTTACTAAGTAAATGTAAGTAAATGATTCTCAAATGAGATTTAATGTCAAGAATTTGTGCCCCGGGGCTTTCAGGGTCGTAGAATCTATTGGCAGAGTTCATTTGAGCCATTTGTCTAAAGAAAAGTCCCAAGAGAATCGAATTGGCGTGCCTATTATAGCGTTTCACAATGAAAAACTGTTTTCAAAAGAGCCGGATTTTTGAGGAGAACCAAACTTGTAGAGAAGCCAGATAGCAACAATAACATTATAGGATACTGTAGGTGAATAGATGATTTTTTGATTTTTCATATTTTTATATAGATTTTATGTTAATATCAATCAAATTTTTTATATTCTTTAAGATTTTAAAGATTTTTTTATGAATCGATCAGTTGATACAAACAAAAGTGAAATGAAAAAGTGCATTTTTCATTGCAATCGAAAATATCTGAAAACTATTTATTTAAAAAATAAATATCATTAAATTATAATTATCTTCCTATATTCAAATCATTTACAACTCGTCAGTTTTCTTCGGTTTCGGGGTGGTTTGTTGTCGAATGAAATCAAAGATGTCACCGGCCAGGGTCTTTGGAAGCTAAAGTCAAAATTAAAGCTGAATTGTTGGAGTTTAAAGTTGTGCTGTTATTTTAAAGATATTAAGGGATTTTTCACCTCGTAAGCGGCAAAATGCCCTCCATCGGGATGCTCACGCCGGTATTGAAGGTTGAACGAGTGCTTCATGATCTCTTCGGGACTCTAGAAATTCATCGAAATTTCTTATCATAAAATATATCTTATATACTTTTTACTATTTTATAGTTGATTAGTTGAAGTTTAAGCTGAAAATCCAGTTCATTTTTCGAAGTTACCAAGTCAGCAAGAATTGTTTCAAATTAACTCAAAAGCAAGAACATTTATTTAATTAAAGGGGGAAGGGGGGGGGGGTATTAATCGTGGCCGGGTGACCATAAAAATTAAAAAATCTGCAATTAGTTGCAATTAAAACTCAATCGATCTAGACTGTGCTAAGGTGTCTGATGTGTGACTATCTTGTTTCTCCAAGCCTTGCAACGTCTCCAAAAATTTGTAAACCCATCAAATCACTCTAGCCGGTTGTTTTTGATTCTTTTTATAACTAAATCAGCGGTATTAAAATAAAAAACAGGTGATTGCCTTAAAAAAAATTTTTATGGTCACCCGGCCGCGATTAATACCCCCCTTTAATGTTTTTTCGCTCTTTGTTAGCAAAAGCACAAAGATTGGTCCACTTAGAAGAAAGTTATGGCAAGCAGAAAAAATCGCGGAAATTAGCCTACCCCAAAACAATATTTTCTTCAAAAATCTCTTACCTTGTCGAATGGTTCATGCCCGAAATTGCTGTGTGCCGTCGGGACTTCACAGTATTCTCTGGAATATTTTCGTTGTATCAAATCTGACTAATTCATGAATATTGACAATCGACTTTTTGTCGTATCAAAAGTTTTCTTTTCCACAAACTTTGACAACAAATCGTTCCTCGTATCCAAGAAGAATTCCTTGTAGAAACGCTGTGAATTCACGGTATTCCCTTGTACCCAATAGATTGTCACAGTCGTTAACACTTTGTCAAGAGTGAATTTCCTGAAAAACCGGAATTGAAGTACTGAAACTTTATAAAAAAGCTATCGATGCCCGAGAATTACAGGTATAAATCAATTTGAAAGTTGTCAAAGTTGAAACTTTACTAAGATACAGAGCTCTTAGCCAGTCGGTCACGTAACTCATTCACGTATTTATTCTAATAGAAGAAGACGGTCAAAAAAGTAGATAAGGGTCTCCTACAGGAATCCGGTTTTGTTGCTTGTATATGCATATAACCACTCTCGACCATCACCATTTTAAACAGATCAAATAAGTTGAAGTTTTGATAGTTTGGAGAGGAGAAAAACTGAAATTAAAGCGAATTTTCAATGCAAAACTTTAGAAATGAATGATCTGATTGGGAAAAATAAGAGCGTTTCAATTTTACGCGTAAAGAACACAGTAGTTCGGTTACTTTCGAGTGCATAACTTTGTAATCTTTCAAATTCTTGCACTTTTAAAACTCAAATCGGTTTTTCAATCACAATTCTTTGCTCTTTTAATTGTGATTTCCATCTTCTTTTCTTCATTTCTTGATTAACTTTCCTTTTTTAAGCCAACTCACCAATTTTGGCGCAAACGAGCCGAGAACCGCCTTGACGAGCCCGATTCCGCTAGGGAAAGCGCTGTTCATATTCAAGTGGAGCGCAAGGATTCTAGAATGCAGAATGCATTGAAAGTTATTGACTATTTCATAATATTATTCATCTCTAAACGAATTTTAGTCACTTTTTCTTTACAGACTCACTCATTTTTGTAAATCCGAGCCATGTTTGACGTGACCATCGAACCCCAATCACCGCCCTGAAAACGGGAATCATCCGTTTGAACAGTTTATTATGATATTTCTTTTAAACTCACTTGAATATAGTATTTCTTGAAGTTCAATCGATTCATCAGCTTGTGAAAGACTCGAGCACACTCGACTTGAGAGAAACCTAAGGATTTGATGAATTTGATATTGATTTTATCATTTTCATTTGATTTAATAAAAATTTGTTTTAATAACAATACTGTATCCTCTTTTACCGCTTTCTAAAAGGAATTCAGAAAACTAGCATATTCAAAATGCGAGTTTACTCCGATCAACCCAATTTTGATATGTGATTCATCGAATAAAACCGAAATTAGGTTGATTAAATGTCTGATTACGATACCTTTTTTAAATCCCGCCTATTAAAAAACGTATTAGCTGAGATAAAACGCATCATAACTATACTTTTGAGGTAAGCACCATCGCCCACAAGTGTCCCCATTGCACTCCGTTTTTTGCGTTTTTCTCACCGCTCACTTAACCGGTTTGGCTACTTTTGATTTCATTCGATAACTATTAATCAGGACTATCGAATGAAACCAAGTGTAACCAAAGCGGTCGAGTAAGCGACAAGAAAAACGCAAAAAACCTAGGCAATGGGAACACTTGTGGGCGGTACTTCAAAAGTATAATTCAAATTCAAAGCAAATCAATTCAAATCAATTCAAATTCAATTCAAATCAATTCAGATCAATTCAAATTCAATTCAAGCATTCAAATGCAATTGACTAACCCGTTTTCTTCGGACTATCCGAGAATCCGTATCCGGGAATCGATGGGGCGATCACCTCAAAAGCGAAATCACAATCGAAACCGAATTTCCGGATCCGGATCGTTGAGCATCGGGATGATTTTAACGAACTGTAAATGAACATAATGTTTCAATTTGATACCAATAAATCAGCAAATCCAGCTGTTAATTGAGAATTTCATTAATTTCTTCACCTCTTGAACATTTCCCGGCCATCCGTGAACGATCAACAATGGATAGGTTTTCTTGTAACCAGTCGCTGGTTTCGAGTGAATGACATAGTTTTCTGTAGAGCCGATCTCGCATCTCTTCTGAAAGCCCGGCAACCAAGCTAGAAATAAGAAAGAAATTTCATCGCTAACAAAAATGACAAACGTGGCGTATTGCTCATATTTCGCTGTCGAAACCCTAGTTCCTCTTTTGCTCCCTTGTTGTCTGCAACATTTACGACAAAGCGTTGATGTCGTCCACACAGAAATAATATTTCAAATTCGAAATAATATCCACAAGAATTAGCTTTCTCACAACCTCTTGTTGATTAGCCTTGAGGCGAAGCTGCTTCACCCCTTCAATCGAGACGCTTTCCCTAAAAGCCGTGGTTCTAAAGTCTTCAATCAACAAACTTTTTTTTCCAGCTCTTCTTGCCCAACAAATTGCTTCGTTTCGATCATCATTGTGTCGATGTCGACCTGAAAAGGGGTCTGAAATTATTTTTGAATTCTCTTAAGAAAAACAAATTTATTGGGAAACTAATCTGTTTAAAACGGGTTGCAACAGATCCCTAGTTAGTCTAAAAACACAAGAAGAAATTAGAGTGATGATTTCGGAATAATCTTTTTCTGAACAATAATAGGACAAAAGCTTATAAAATCTTTCAGATATCTTAAAACTTGGAAAGGCAACGTATTCCAACTTATTGAATGGCAAAATATGAAATGAGCGGTCAATTTCCGATAAGAATGGTGAATATTTAACCAAATTTAACGTTCTATGTCTATTTTTGTAGCCAAAATAGTTCTAGACAAAAAAATCTACAAAAACCTAAAAATAGTTCTTTTTGGTAAAAAACGCTAACTTTTTAAAGAAAGTTCTGTTTCACATGAGCCAGCAGAAAAGTCTAGAAGGTGACCAATAAAAAAGTTCTTATGTTCTTCTGTATGAAGAAGGATTGATGACAGCTATGCCTGGTCATCAATCCAATAATAAGGTGGAAAGCGGAGAAGAGGAGCATGGGGCAGAGTAGCTTTTCCCATTTATCAATAGATCATTTTCTCTCCTCTTTCCCGCAATCCCGCAAACCTATCTTTGTGTGAATCGATAATTTGCTCTATTGGGCCTCCTCAGATCACAAATCACAGATCCAGCTGGCAAAGAGAAAATGACTCACCATTTTGATCGAAAAAGGGAAGCTCCCCTTTCCATTTCAACCAAGGGACCTTTTTGGCGTGTGGAACCTTATCAAAAAAAATCAGATATCAGAGGGAATATCTCGGCGAATATTCCAATAAAATTTTGCCTCATTTCTAATTTTGTAGCCTGAACATCTCGACACCTTCTAGACTTTTCTGCTGGCTCATGTGAAACAGAACTTTCTTTGAAAAGTTAGCGTTTTTTTCCAAAAAGAACTGTTTTTAGGCTTTTGTAGGTTTTTGTCTAGAACTATTTTGGCTACAAAGCTAGACATAAAACCTAAAATTTGGTTAAATATTCACCAAGGCATTTCCTATCGAAAATTGACCGCTCATTTCTTATTTTGTCATTCAATAAGTTGGAATACGTTGCCTTTCGAAGTTTTAAGATATCTGAAAGATTTTATAAACTTTTGTCCTATTATTGTTCAGAAAAAGATTATTTCGAAATCATCACTCTAACTTCTTCTTGTGTTTTTAAACTAACGAGAACGGGTTGGAAGAGGTTCCACCTGTTCCACCTGTTCCAACCCGTTCTCGCCTCTCAAACCGTAAAAAAGAACAATGTTCGGTTCAGAATGCCAGAAAAATCATCAACGATGAACAAAGAATACAACAAGAACAACGATCCGCGGGTGAGTGGTATTGATTTTAATTTTTAAGCAGATTGCTTTCCCAAGAAATTTGTTTTCAGATCGCCAACGACAAAATGATGATCGCAACGAAGGAATTAGTTGCGATCGCAGAAGAGCTGAAAAAAAAGTTTGTTGATTGAGGACTTTAGAACCACGGCTTTTAGGAAAAAAGTCTCGATCGAAGAGGTGGGGCGGCTAATTGAAGAGGCCAACCAACTAAAAGAAACGCTGGCAGAGGTTGCGAGAGGGCTATCTTCTGTGCAACAAGGGAAAGAAAACAAGAAAATGATTTCCGAGTGAGTTTTGAGTGAGCGAGAGAACCATTTATCAAGTTTAGATGCAGTAATGCATTAAAGCGAGTCGATCACTGGTGCAAAAAGGTAACGAATTGAAAAGTTTTGAAATTGTAGCATTTCCATGTTGCAGAAATTGCTGGATGAAGAAGTAAAGGAGTGGGTCGATATGAAGAAGAATTCCAAGAAAGCCAAACAGGTCCATTGGTTGCAATTCAAAGGAAAGCTTCCCGTCTTCGTTCAGAGTGAGTGAGCCGTTTTCTCTTTGAAAGGATAGAAAAACTTACAGAACTCGAAAAAGAAATCATCTCGAAAATCGAAAACTACGATAAGGCTATCATTTATGTATGGACGGATGGAAGCTGCAAGGGTGGCAAGAAAAACGGTGCTTCGGGCTTCGGAATTTATCTAGGAGCGGATCATGAACTCACGAGGTACGATGATGTTCTTTTTCTATCAGTTAGACGATAGAAATTTTAAAATAAAAATAGATTATATCAGTATTATAGGTGGGGTCCCATTTGTCATCCTCCAAACGGTCACAGTAGCCAGGATGCCGAGCTTTGTGCAATCGAGACTGCCCTTGAAGCGATCTATTTATGGGAAGGTTATGTTGGGTAAGCAAAAACACAAAAGCAACGAATTAATTCAGCGGAATAACGATAGGCCCGAACTTCTCGGACTGTTTTAGCTACAAACGAATTTAATAAGACTCTAAATCTGAAAGACTCTCTTTGCTGAAAGAAGAGATTGAAAGAATCAAGCTAATCAGTGCATGTTGTCTGTATTTGTCTACAATGTATTTGGATCATTTGTCCAATGATCCAAATACATTGTATTGAATATTGTACAATAATTTATTGCAAAATATTTTTCCTATTCAGATTCATTCATTCATTTAGACAGAAAGTCGTGATTTTTACGGACAACCTCGAGGTCGTCAAGGCCTTTAAGCAGTACAAAGAAAGGGGAACGGCCGGGGACGTCTGTAGTCTCGACTTTAACCAGATGAAATCGATGAAATCAGATAAAAGAAATAAGTGAGTTATGGGCACGATTAAATGAAAATCAAATCTTTAGATATTTTCCCATCTACAAACTTGTCCAACTTTTCGGTGTAGAAAATCTGGAGTTTAAACATGTGAACTCAAACCGAATACCGACCAAGCCACAAGATCCGGGCAATAAGGAGGTTGAAACCTTGAAAATTATAAGCAATTAGACAATTTCAGGCCGACGAGCTGGCGGGTCGGACGACGGCCTGGGTCAAACTAGCCACTCATCAAATCACCGATGCGGCTGTCGAGATACCGGGGCTCGACTCCGAGGGATTCGACGCCGTTCTTGGATCAGAGGAAGAGGAGCCGACGTTGATGGACTGTGACACTGATGTCGATATGGATATGGATTGAATAGTATAAAGAAAAAAATAGCAATACCGTGTTTATTCTAATAGAAGACCACCGCCCTGACCCCTTGAAATCGGGGACTTTTTGAAACTTCTTTTTAGGTAGAATGATAGATTTGGGTGCAGATAGAAGTATTTTAGCATTGGCAGTAACACACGGATTCTTTGGAAGATTTTCTATGGGCTATGGGATCCGGGCAAAAAAATAACCTCACTTTTAAACACGTTCTTTGCATGTTTTGGGTCATCGTTTAAAATAGTTTTTAACAGTTTTCAAAATTTGGATTCCTGTGGGAGACCCTTATCTACTTTTTTGCCCGTCTTCTTCTATTAGAATAAATACGGTAAGTTACGTGACTGACTAGCTAAGAGCTCTGTATTTTTTTGGTTCGATCCCGCCGTCTAGCTTATTGTTTCCTCTTTCCTTTTCTTGATTTCCTTTTGATTTTGATTTTGATTCCGTTTGATCTTTTGATTCAATATGGATTTTTTTTCTTTCCTACATTTAGAGCGTGGTGCTTGTATATTTTGTATCGCATTATTTGTGTGGATCAATAGCCAAATAGCAACAATAACATTATAAGATACTGTAGGTGAATAGATGATTTTTTTTAATCTTTTATATTTTTATATAGATTTTATATCAATATTTTTGTGATTTTTTGTGAATCGATCAGTTGATACAAACCTGAATTATGGTTATCGAAGATTTCATACACGCCCCGCTCTTTTTGCCATGGGCAATCTAACTTTGAGCTCAAATATCTTGGTGTTGGGCTATCCAATTTAAATATTCTTGGTATCATTGCTTTTCACTTTCACATTCAAGTTGCTATTCACGTTTGAATTTCGATTTTGCTCACAAATTCGCAAATTGTGATAAAAGCAGGATTTTATTTTGGAATCTGAGAAAAGCTCATAGAATAGTTTTATTTTTTTTATATTTTTATATAGATTTTATATATCAATGAAATTTTTGATATTCTTTATATTAAATCTCTCCCCAGCTAAGTCTTCTCATTTTTCCACTGGCAAATCTTCTCTTCCTTTAACCCTCGATCATCATCCTATTCGTTTGGTTGAAAGAAATGAATATCTGCGTGATATTTGGGAGTCCTTATTAGCCCCCCCCCCTCTTAGTTTCCGTTTTCACATTGAATCCATGTGTAATAAGGCCTCTGTAAGTGCAAACCGTATCCTCAGGTCTATTACAATACCTAACATCAAAACTTCTCGGATGTGTTTTGTTGCTTATGTCCGCCCTATTCTTGAATACGCTTCTTTGATTTGGTCTCCTTCCCTATTAAATCTTATTCAAAAAAATAGAATGTGTTCAGAGGCACTTCACCAGAATTGCTCTTTATAAAATTAATTTTGACAAATTCTCCTCCTTTAGTTATTCTGATAGATTGCAACTCTGAAATTTGAACAAACTTGCAAGTTTGGTCTTGAAATGTTACACCAACGCCGCCTTTTCATCGATTTAGTGGAATTAAAATTGTTAAAATTGTTAAAGGCATTCATCCCGACCCCCTTTCTTCTGGTTTCTTTGAATTAGGCTCTCTACGGGGCGCCTCCAGAAGGAGTATCGTTAATATTAGTATCGTTAATAACTAGTTAAAAAATTCAGCTTCAGAGTGAGCTCTCGCTAACTAGAAAAAACTAGACACCAGATCAAGGTGTCCTTTTTGATGTGACACAGCTTTGAATAGGGATTCCGAATCCGCTTTCTCTACGGGGCGCCTCCAGAAGGGGGCCTTTTCTCATACGCCAACCTTCCGTTTCCTCTAAAAGCCCCCACAGTTTCTTTTTTAATCGAGTTATTAAATTGTGGAACATTTTACCCCCTCATGTTCGTGATATTCCCACCTTGCCGCAATTTCGGCAATTGATTTGACTGCTCTGTGATTCTTTCTTGAGGTATCTATTTATCTTTTGGGTGTGTTTTGAGTGGTGTCCCGGGTAATTATTGTGATTTTGTTTTGTCGATACTCAACTGAATAAAGCATATATATTCTTTAAGATTTTAAAGACTTTCTATGACTCGATCAGTTGATACAAACAAACGTGAAATGAAAAAAAAGTGCATTTTTCATTGCAATCGAAAATATCTGAAAACTATTTATTTTAAAAATAAATATCATTAAATTATAATTATCTTCCTATATTCAAATCGTTTACAACTCGTCAGTTTTCTTCGGTTTCGGGGTGGTTTGTTGTCGAATGAACTCAAAGATGTCACCGGCCAGAGTCTTTGGAAGCTAAAGGCAAAATTGAAGCTGAATTCTTGGAGTTTACTGCTATTTTTTAAAGATATCTATTGTCTTACCTCGTAAGCGGCAAAATGCCCTCCATCGGGATGCTCACGCCGGTATTGGAGGTTGAACGAGTGCTTCATGATCTCTTCGGGACTCTAGAAATTCATCGCAATTTCTTATCATAAAATATATCTAGAGTTTTTAGATGTTTTTTACTATTTTATAGTTGATTAGTTGAAGTTTAAGCTGAAAGTTTAAGTGAAATTAGCCTACCCCAAAACAGTATTTTTTTCAAAAATCTCTTACCTTGTCGAATGGTTCATGCCCGAAATTGCTGTGTGCAGTCGGGACTTCACAGTATTCTCTGAAAAATTTTCGTTGTTTCAAATTCGGCATACTTCATTGAATGAAAAAGAACGTAGTCTTAGGTTTCATTGAAGAAATTAAAGAGATCCTTTTTGTCTTTCTTCCTTGCTTCCTCCTCCTTGTCTTTTTTATTTCTCCTTTAGCAAAGCAGGCGCCGATGGCTCATCTGTCCGGTGAGCAGAAGGTCGAGGGTTCAATTCCCCTTGGCTCAAATGCTTTGTCATTCATTTCTTTATTTGTTTAATCTTATACAAACGAATAAAGTGAAGATATTTCTTTTCATAAGTGTTGTCCCATTGTTTCAGCCAAATGAAACATTGTTGTTTAAACATTTGTGGTTTGTTTAAACTATCTCAATTCATCTCAACTCTTAACATTACTATAACTCGTTAGTTTTAAAGTAAATGAGCTCTTCAAATTGGACCCTGCTTCATTAAATTGTTTCATTTTAAGTGACAATCGACTTTTTGTCATATCAAAAGTTTTCTTCTCCACTAACTTTGACAACAAATCGTTCCTCGTATCCAAGAAGAATTCCTTGTAGAAACGCTGTGAATTCACGATATTCCCTTGTACCCAATAGATTGTCACAATCGTTAGCACCTCGTCAAGAGTGAATTTCCTGAAAAAACGAAAGTTTAAGAACTGTCTATGCCTAAAAAAGCTATTTATGCCCGGGAATACATTTATAAATCAAGTTAAAAGTTGTCAAAGTTGAAACTTTACTAAGATACAGAGCTCTTAGTCAGTCAGTCACGTAACTTATTCACGTATTTATTCTAATAGAAGAATACGGTCAAAAAAGTAGATAAGGGTACCAAGTTGAAACTTTACTTCGTGATTCCGCCATCTTTCAAATCTTTATAGCCTAAATTCGTCCACGACGAGAACTTCTCCAAAATGTACGCGACCAAGCCGAGTGGGGAATCGTTGAGAGCCGTGCCTAGAGAAAAGAGATTTTGGAAAAGCTATTGAACTAGGATTCGATGCAGAAAGGAATTGCTCGTCGAATGATACAAAAATCAACTCAAAATGTAATATCTACGTAAAGTTGTAGGCTAAAAACGTTAATTAACCTTTTTCCTCATAACTTTGCGTGAATATTAGATTTTGAGTTGGTTTTGGTCTCATTCGACGCGTAATTTTCTTCTTGATCAATATTTTTGTTAGTTTAGTATTCGATTTTGTTGCCACTCACCAACAGTATCCGGTTTTGTTGCTTGAATATGCATATAACCACTCTCGACCATCACCATTTTAAATAGATCAAGTAAGTTGAAGTTTTGATAGTTTGGAGAGGAGAAAAACTGAAATTAAAGCGGGAATTTTCAATGCAAAACTTTAGAAATGAATGATCTGATTGGGAAAACGAAGAATGTTTCAATTTTACGCTTAATCAACACAGTAGTTTGGCTACTTTCGAGTGCATGACTTTGTAATCTTTCAAATTCTTGCAGTTTTAAAACTCAAAATGATTTTCAATAGCGATTCCTTGCTCTTTCAATTGTAATTTCCATCTTCTTTTCTTTATTTCTTAATTAACTTTTCCTTTTTCCAGCCAACTCACCAATTTTGGCGCAAACGAGCCGAGAATCGCCTTGACGAGACCGATTCCGCTCGGGAAAGCGCCGTTCATATTCAAGTGGAGTGCAAGAATTCTAGACAAAATGCATTAAGCTATTGACTATCTCATTAAATTAATCTCTAAACAAATTTTAGTCGCTTTTTCTTTACAACTTACTCATTTTTGTACATCCGAGCCATGTTTGACGTGATCATCGAGCCCCAATCACCACCCTGAAAATGGGAATCATCCGTTTGAACAGTTTATTATAATATTTATTTTAAACTCACTTGAATATAATATTTCTTGAAATTCAATCGATTCATCAGCTTGTGAAAGACTCGAGCACACTCGACTTGAGAGAAACCTAAAGATTTGATGAATTTGATATTGATTTGATGCTTTTCATTTGATTTAATAAAAAATTGATTTAATAACAATACCGTATCCTCTTTTACCGCTTTCTAAAAGGCATTCAGAAAACTAGCAGATTCAAAATGCGAGTTTACTCCGATCAACCCAATTTTGAGAGGTGATTCATCGAATAAAACCGAAATTAGGTTGATTCTGATTCTGATTACGTCTGAGTCTGTTTACGATACCTTTTTTAAATCCCGCCTATTAAAAAACGTATTAGCTGAGATAAAACGCATCATAACTATACTTTTGAAGTAAGCACCATCGCCCACAAGTGTCCCCATTGCACTCCGTTTTTTGCGTTTTTCTCACCGCTCACTTGACCGGTTTGGCTACTTTTGATTTCATTCGATAACTATTAATCAGGAATATCGAATGAAATCAAGTGTAACCAAAGCGGTCGAGTAGGCGACAAGAAAAACGCAAAAAACCTAGGCAATGGGAACACTTGTGGGCGGTACTTCAAAAGTATAATTCAAATTCAAAGCAAATCAATTCAAATTCAATTCAAATCATTTCAAATCAATTCAAATTCAATTCAAATTCAATTCAAGCATTCAAATGCAATTGACTAACCCGTTTTCTTCGGACTATCCGAGAATCCGTATCCGGGAATCGATGGGGCGATCACCTCAAAAGCGAAATCGTAATCGAAACCGAATTTCTTTGGATCGTTGAGCATCGGGATGATTTTAACGAACTGGAAATGAACATATTGTTTCAATTTGATACCAATAAATCAACAAATCCAGCTGTTATTTCGAACATTCATTAATTTCTTCACCTCTTGAACATTTCCCGGCCATCCGTGAACGATCAACAATGGATAGATTTTCTTGTAACCAGCCGCTGGTTTCGAGTGAATGAAATGAATCTAGAAAAGTTTTATGAAGGTTTTTGTTTTGCCAGAAGTTCTAGATAATGATTCTACATGATAGCTTTCTCTTAAAATTTATAAAAAGATCAATTTTCAATCTATTGAGATGAGTTTAACTTGGAAAAAGTGAATGATACAGTACTGGACAATGAAATATCATATTTGAAAAACGATCGTCACTTTCGCGCGTCTGTAACTCCCCTGTCTTTGAGTTTAAACTATTAGTGTTATACATTTTCTGAAAGCTCTTTTCAAGAGCTACACAATGGTAGTATTAATATTTAGAAATACCCTATTTTTTGACGCATTTCAGCGCACGCGAAAGTGACGATCGTTTTTCAAATATGATATTTCATTGTCCAGTACTGTACCTTCATCCCCTCGATTTGCGTTGTGAATTGAGTGAATGCATTCAGCGTTGCCTCATGTTTTCTCCAATCGTATTTATTTTGCCAATAGTCTTTCACTTCCTGAATTTGAAAGCTATTTAAAATAAATAGATATTGTTTTGAAAATCTTTCTATTCAGCAATTACCTTGAGATAATGAGAGTTAAAACCGTATTGGAAATTGTCGGAATCTTCGAGCGTCTCATGGGAGATCCGAGCTTGTGAGAGACGAGTTTTGAGGTCCTAAAGTAGAATAAAAATAGAAATGAAGTATTAATTATTAAATACCAGCGAAAAACGCTCACTAACGTTCGCATTTTTCAACTGGGAAGGTCCACGTTTTCCACGCAATCTAAGCCACGGCCCTTCCAATAGCTGCGCACAGACGGACGGACGGACAGACGGGCAGACGTCTCTTCTGCTTTAGACTATAGTAGATAGTTATGCTATTTTAAATAATAATAAAATATTCAAGATTGAGCGGCACTCGGGGGTCGAACCCGGATCGTGTGGGCTATAGACAAGGGCTTGACTGCGCTACATTGGCTGGAGCTTGTGACCAGGAAAACCCACGGTTAAGTGGGAAATAAAAATAAAAAGCTTAGTTTTAAAACTTGGAAACGCGCTAGAGAATTAAAATCGCTTTTCATAAGGTTCTTAAATTGTCGCCATGGCCGAATGGTCGGGACCGGGAGGTCAAGGGTTGAAAAGTGCGCACTACTATTACAGAAAATACGGTAGCTTTTTTCTACATGTTTCTACAAGGGTTGTGCTTAGTATTATTTGTACGACGTTTTTCGCGTGAATAAATGTATTTATATTTCTTTTCAAAGGTACAAAATTCTTTTTCATAAACTCTAAAGAGAAAACAACTTTTCCTCGTTCAACTCTTGTAGAAATGAGGAAAGTTTTTTGCTTTTGTAGTTGATTATATTGATCAAAGTTTATGTTTCAATGTAAACTGCGCGAGATTTCAAGCAAAAAGTTTCGTATAACTTTCCCTGAGCTGCTAAAAGTTAAAAGAAAGAAATAGCACACATTCCACTCACCGTTAAAACTTCTTCAGGCACATTTATTTTGAATGCTTTTATCGTTTCATCGTCTTTCCCCATTTTTCCCTTTCCATACCATCCATTTTCGGAAATTTCAATCTAAAAGCTTCAATTTCTTGAAAAATCTTGAAGATATAAATCACTTTTGTGCTCTACAGCTTTTTTTGCTTTTAAGTAAATATTTAATTTCATCTACCCAGCAATGATTAAAGTTCTGCGCCAACTTTGAAACGACTTTTAACCTTTAATTTTCTATACTTTTTAATCTTTTTTTTTGAATTGACAACTAGGATTTGCTTTGATTTTTTGATGAAGTTCTCAGAAGAGCTTCAGTTCTCACCTTTTGTTTTGGCTGTGTCCATAGATAGACTCCAACAGCTGCCAAAAGCACCAAGATTAACAAACCGCCTTTTCCACAGCAACAACAACCCATTTTTGAGAAGATCTTAATGATGAGAGATAGAAATTTAGATTAAGATAAAGATTCATTCAAGAGATTTTCAAGAAAAACTTTTAAATCAAAGCTTTAGAAAATATAGATGGCTTGAATCGCAAAGAAGCATGGACAATAGACTTTTTCAAGTAATTCAGCGTCACGGAGGTCGAATCGATTATTAAATTGTTAATTTTTATCAATTTTTGCTCATTTTGATAAAATTGTTAACTTTTTTCAAATGCCTTTAAAATTATGACCACTTGCCAGAGACACTTTTTGAATAAATTAGATTTTTCTTTAAAAGTTCCAGTATCATCTCCTGGATTTTTACAGTTAGACATGTAAAATTATGATAGTGATGATGCTTAAAAGACGATTTTATTGGATATTCTATATTTTCCAAAAAATCGTAAAAATTCGACTGCCTTTAAAATTATGTCCAGCAGTGTAGATGGCTTGAAACGCAAGAATATTTTTTCGTTTAAAAAAAGCGTTTGTTTGTTTTATATTTTGCTTCTTAGTTTGACTTGAAATTGAATGAAATGGAGCTGAAATTGAATGAAATGAAGCTGAAATTGAATTGAAATTGCTTTTTAAATTCATTGAATAAAGGTGAAAACCGGGGGCTCGATAAACAAAAGTAAACAAAAGTTCAACCATCAACGAACTTTAAAACTTTAAAACACAAATCCTTTTAGGATAATATAAGAAAAAGCCTTTATTTTCTATTGTTTTAAAAAGTACAGCGGATTGTTTGCAGCAGCTAAAAAATGAGATCTATTGGGTTGGGGAGAATAAGTCGGCGCCGAAAATGAAAAAAATGTGTAAAACTTGAATTCGACTTCGTCAAATAATATGCGTTTGATACTCATAGAATGGTTAACTACCGTAATAATTCTAATAGAAGACCAGTCTCTAATAGAAGACCAGTCTCCAATAGAAGACCACCCCCTTGACCCCTTGAAATCGGGACTTTTTAAAACTTCTGTTCAAGTAGAATGAAAGATTTGGGTCCAGATAGTAATATTTTAGCCCCGGCAGTAAAATTGGAGACGTAGTTTTTGAAAAAAATTAAAAAATAACTTTTTGGAAAAATTTCATGTGGTCCCCTACATGGATTTTTTTGAAAGATTTTCTATGGAGTCCGGGCAAGAAAATAATTTCACTTTTAGACATGTTTTTGGCATCTTTTGGGGCAAGGGCTATCGTTTGAAATCGTTTTTAACTATTTTTAATTTTTTGATTCATGTGGGGGACCTTTACCTACTTTTTTGACTCACCAATTTTGGGGGGTTGAAAATTAGAAGACCATGGTCTTCTATTAGAATTATTACGGTAATTCTCTACAAAATCACATTTAAAAGAAAATTCAAACAGCGCCTCCGCTCAAGAAAAAGCCATTTTTTCACAAAAACTACAAACTGTGATCTAGAAAAAACCATTGGTGGGATCTTCCTGCAAATTTGGCAACTTAAGTAATTCAATGTGCTCTATCTTTTTTTATATAAACACCAAAGAAGGTTTATGTGAAAGAAACTGTTCAAATGATGAGTCGGACTCTTTGCCATTTTAACCAGCTGCGTTTCGAAGTTCATAAACTCGACGAAAGAAAAGCTTTGTGGAATCTCTCAAAAGTGATTTTGTAGAGAAATAGTGGATCCTTTTGATGAAACCAAACGTATGTTTAAAGAAGGCTTTATGTGTGCAAAAAGTCCCTTTAAAGTTTGGCGCCGACTCATTCTCCCCAACCCAATAATATTAAAGCCAATAGGCCGCCATTTCTGTACCACAACTTTTCGGGGGTGGGACAAATGCGACCTTTTTTTGGCTGGAAAAGGCCTTAGGAAAGGTCGTAGAGCTTCAAAAATATTTCCATACAAGGGAATCGTATGCGTAGATTCCGAATTTCGACAAATCAAACCTCGCTGACACGTCAAATTTGGGCTAAAAGGCAAAAACTACGCAACTCAACGCTTTTCCGCAGTTTTTGCCTTTTAGCCCAAATTTGACGTGTCAGCGAGGTCTGATTTGTCAAAATTCTGAATCTACGCATACGATTCCCTTCTATGAAAACATTTTTGAAGCTCTACGACCTTTCCTAAGGCCTTTTCCAGCCAAAAAAAGGTGCGCCAATGTTCAGGTGCGCAAAAAAAAAGGTCGCGTTTGTCCCACCCCAATTTTTCAGCACTTTTAGCACAAACTTTATACTCGTCCGGATAATCTTTTGTGTTTAAAAAATACCGAGTATTGAAAGAAAAAAGCGAAAGAATGTATGCATATTAGGTTGATGCAAAAGTCTTTTTCGTTTTTTTCGTACTTCTGTTAAAAAGTAACAAATTCACGAATTAATCTATAGTTTGCTCTATAAAAAAAGTGTTTTTTTTGTTGAATTTGCATCTTTTTAAATGAATTTCGGTTGACTTTCAAGCAAATTCGAGAGTGAAAAACGCCTTTTTCGTAAAAATCTATAAAAAACTCTACGGAAAAATTGGCTGAATGAATTTCTCTGAAATTTTGGCGAAATATCAAACGTTTTTTTTCTCTATCTTTTATCTATTGACACGAAGATAGGTTTTCTTTAGCTAAGGTGTCTAAACCGCATCATCGAGTTAGCCCTTTTTGACTACCCGACTTCATACTCTCAAGAAAATCCAGGCATTCAATATTTTTAAACCCGTTTTAATGTTATTTTGCAGAAAAATAATTGGTTTTTCTAATGAAATCAACCGTAGTTTAATTCGTGCATTTGTTGGCTTGAAACGGCAGACGAAAAAAATGAAAAAGACTTTTGCATCAACCTAATATTTTAAAATAACAACAAACTTATTACATTTTTATTTAAGAATTTGAAATTTTAAACCAAAATGAAAAACTTGATTAGAAATTTTCTTTGAAAACAAAAAAATTCTTGAATTTATAAGCTCTATGTACATGAAATGATGAAAAGTTGGGTAAAGAGTATTAGAAAAAAAATTCGGGCATCAAAATGAGCTTTCCGGTGGGTGTTGTTGGTCAGAAAAGTAGGAAAGGAAAGATTGAAGAATCAACAAGTGAAAAAAAAAAATGAGAGAAACGAGTTTTTTGAGGGGGAAAGGGGCCTTTTTAAACAGAAAAAAACAACGAAAAATCGGTGAAAGAGAAAGAGATATGAAAGAGGGAAAGAAAATACACTACGAAAGCACACAACTACAAGGAGAGATTGCGAGGGGAAAGGAGGAAAGGAGGAGAAGGGGGGAAGGGGGAAAGGAGATCAAAAGAGAACCGGGACAAGCAAATGCCTACACTGGACACAAATCAGAGGTTTTACGGAAGAAAATAGCACTACATTGGCACAAAATTAGCACAAAATTAGCACAAATTAGGGTAAAATTTTGTGCAGGGATCGGCTGTTGTGGAAAACTTTTGAATAGAACAGTCAATCGAGTCTTTTTTTGTTTTAAAAACGATTAAAAACGATCAAAAACGGTCAAAAAATCACAAATCAGAGAATTTTCGGAAATAAAATCGACCCGGGTTTTGCTGGCATTTAGTAAATGAGCGGCAAGCCCCGAATTTGTTGTTCTAATAGTGATCTTCGGGGTTTTCCAACGCCAATGGTTTGCCCCGGTTCCCGGGGTACGGCAAAACCTTTTTTTAACCGATTTTCGGTACCCAGCTCGACCTATCTCGACGTTTTACGATATGTCAAAAAAACGCTTGTCCCTTAGCTCTGAGAACCGGCCGAGATCCAGAAAATGGCGGTTTTGAAACTTTGAAATCTTGAAACAAGTAAAGTGCCAGCAAAACCTTGTGCATGGATCGGCTATTGTGGAAAACTTTTGAATAGAACAGTCAATCGAGACTTTTTTGTTTGTTTTAAAAACAATCAAAAACGCTCAATAACTGTTTTTCAGCCTTAAAACAAGAAATCAAAGAATTTTCGGAAATAAAATCGACTACATTGAGAAAAATTCAGCTTAAATAAAGAAAAAAAACTTTTAGGTATTTTTTAAAAAGTAATATTTCAAGTAATATAAAGAAAAAGTAATATTTAAAGTAATACAAAGTAATATTTCAATATTTCAAGCAAAACAATGATAAATAAATAAATAAATCACACGGCTAAATTGGCACAAAACTTTGAATAATTTCTTCTTCACTCTAAACTTCTAAAAAGTTACAACTTTCACAAGAAAAATCAATTTTTTTTTTTAAAAAACTGATTTGGAGCCATTTATATCTGCTAAAAAACAATTTGATCAATATAAAACAGAAAATAATGTAAAAATCTCTTGATTTCCAATGGATTCAAACTACATTTGCTTGATTTTATGATAAAATCAAATCAAACCCTTTTGCATTTAGATCCAAAGCCACACCGAAGACAAATATTTAAATAATATAATGTTTTAAATAAAACGTATCGATGCTTTAGATCTAGTGGCTCTTTGCCGTAAGTAATTGGCTTATTGATTTCAGTATGTATTGTATGATTAAGTATCACTGTGCATTTCTCTATCATTTCTTTCACTTTATCGTTTGAATAAAGCATTATTATTAATATAATGTTTTTGTTCAAAAAAATGATTATAAATGCATCAAGAAGTCGAATTTTTAAAAAATCAAAAAAAGTTGCAAGCACAGAAATTGAACCCACCGCAAAAAGTTTCGAGAACAAGCGCACTATCCACTAGGCTAAGGGCTCACTTTTTCTGAAAGCCTAAAGAGAGGAAATCACTTTGTGAAGTGTGCCAGAAACTCGAGAAAAGCAAATTCACGAACGTTTACCTTAAATAATTCCGTTCTAAAGGCCCAAAAGAAAGTTTGGACATTCGGATAGCTAATTTCTTTCTTTTCTTTTCAATTGAATGATACATAAATCATTTTTTGACTCGAGAGTAAGCTTAAGATGTTCTGAGCATGAATTTTACTCGTTCCCAGTCCGCTCATGCTTTGAAAACATTTATTAAATTTACAAAACACTCTTTGTAATCAGTAATCTTGACACAAGGTCTTTGAAAAGCCGTCTTCACTGCATGAAATTGCATGAAATTGAATTGAACTTTTAGAAATTGCACTTTTTGATTTTCTTTTATATTTATGTTAGATTATTTTGATTTTTATTTATCCAAACTTTTGGCAATTTTGATTTTTTTGACATTGACTATAGCAATTGCCAACAACAAAGACTCATTAATTGAAAAACTTGAGATCTTTTGAAATATCTCAATCACACATAGTTTGCTAGCCCTTTTTTTGTGCCAAGGTCAGTCTGAGAAATGAAGAAAATGATAAAGCATATAAATATCAAAATTGAAAAACTTTATCCCATTCTTTTCCTAATGTTTCATTTCCTAATTCTTTTCTCGATTCCTCTAATTTTCGCCTGGGGTCCCCCAGGGAAACAAACGCGCAATTTCAACACTGATCAAGGGAAAAGTTTTCAAGCGAAAGATGCCGATTATGATTATGAGTGGGTTTCATGGAAATTATCGAAAATGACAAGTTAGTTTGAAATTTTGATCCTACAAAGGATCAAAATTTGAAAATGACAACTGCAAATTGATCGGATCGAATTGAAAACAAAGCTTTGACTAGTCAAAGATCAAACTTCAAATCGGACTCATTCTAATTAAATGAATTGAATTGAATTAGATCCATAAGCCAGTAACAATGGAAATGTGTCATTTTTCTTCAAATTGAGCATTGGGTTCTCGTTCGTGCTCATCGGAAAACCGGGTTTTTTCATTGTGCAAGCTATCAGATGCTAAACCCAAACTCAATTCTATTCTTTTTCACATTTATCATATATTCTATCGATATCGAGAAATTTTTCGTCAAGCCAGTCGGTCGCTTGTGCAGTTTGTAGCATTTAAGCCATTTAAAGCATTTAAAACTACAGCGAAATTTGAGGCGCAAATTGATCCCAAGAATTTGGGCATAATGACTACCAGCCGTCTGTTTCTGGTCACCTCTCCTGTCCCGACTCCCAAAGGAACACCTATCTATCTGGGGCATATGCCAGATCGAGAACGATTACGCGACTGCACAAAGAACAATTCGCTAGTCATTTGCAAAGGGATTGCTCTTTTGTTGATGGCACAAAAAGAAGATATTCAGCTGTAAATTTTCAGGGTCGTAGAATCTATTAGTGGAGTTTATTTTAACCATTTGTCCCAAGAAAAGTCTCAAGAGAACCTGATTGGCTTTGGGTTTTACATATGATAGCTTTTCACAATGAAAAACCCGGATCAGCGCGAAGAATCGAGCATTATTCAAACGCTTGTGGCATTAGAAATGCTGGAAACTTTGAAAAATCCATATTTTCATCAATCAAACCTCCAAATAATCGGAATTTCAATCTTTTTAGCCAAAGCGAAGTGCGTCGAGTGTCTCAATTGGGAATGAATTCGGGAATTCGACCCGGATTTGGTCTGATTTTCAAGCCGAAACACTTTTCATCCTTTATAAAAAGCTTAATTTTATAAAAACAACATTTAAAGATTAAAATAGATCTTTATAACAATTATCTATTGATATTTGCTTGATGATTTTGAAATTTTCAGGCGGTTTTGCCACTCCAGTTGGCCCTTCTCGTCCTTCTACAGGTAAAAATGAATCGAATTACTTGTAGTTTTTAGAAAACTTTAATTTGATGTTTTTTTCAAAGAAAACGACCCATTCCCCCCTTTCAGAGCGAATTATTTTCAGTTGTGATCACGAAAATTCACGAGAATTTCGCGATTGACCCAAATCCGAACCTCAACTTTTTCGCCTCATCGGTGAGATTTTTGAAAGAAAGCTTTTTCTTTTCATTATACAATTTTTGTTTATAGGTTTAATTTCTTCTAAAAAAAGCAATTTCAAATTTCGAATAGATTGCATTATTCCGAAATTGAAATCAAATAAAAACGACCATTGAAATTTTAAAAAAACACTCTTTATACTTGCGAACTTTGAACCTTTTTTTTTAGATGAATTTGATATACTAAAATTTTCTAGATCTATCGATCGTACAACCCGATGACAAAACGCTTTTTCCTTCACCCAAATCGACGACTCGTCGATTTGCAAAGCGGAAAGGGATTTGGAGCGGCGGCGAGGATCGGGAAAATAATCAGTGTTCAGACTTTTTTAAGGTTTATTTGAGGATTTTTCTGTTTGATGCTTTAACCAGCTAACAAAATAGAATACCCGACATTATTTGAGCCGGATTTCAATTGTCCCAATCAAAGCTGAAACCTTACTTCTCAAAGCGTCAATAAAACTGAGAGATTTACCTGAAATAGCCATATTAAAAGGGTGTTTGGATTAAAATGATGATGAATTATTAAGTAAAACTGACATCGCATCCATATTGACCTAATCTAGCGTCTTTGGGATTCATTGTTACTATTAGAAACATTTGAAATTTTAGTACGTACTAGACGAAAACATCTGTCGGTCCTTGCCGTTGGGAATTTAAGGTTTTTCGTGTTTTTCTCAACACCAATCCTTTGATTTTGACTAACATTCGATTGAGAATAAAATTCCGCGTCGAATGATACCAAAATTAACTCAAAATGTAATATCCACGTAAAGTTGCAGGCTAAAAACGTTAATTAACCTTTTGCCTCATAACTTTGCGAGCGACAAAACCCGATACTGTTGGTGAGTGGCAACAAGATCGGATAATAAACTAACAAAAATATTGATAAAGAAGAAAATTACGCATCGAATGATACCAAAACCAACTCAAAATCTAATATCCACGCAAAGTTGTAGCCTAAAAACGATCATTATGGGCGGGACTTGACCTTTTGCCTCATAACTTTACATGGATATTAGATTTTGAGTTAATTTTGGTATCATTCGACGCGGAATTTTATTCTCAATCAAATGATTGGTGTTGAGAAAAGCCCGAAAAACCTTAAATTCCCAACGACAAGGAGCGACAGATGCTTTTGTTGCAAGTCTACTTCATATTATTCGAGGTCTAATTTAATCCTGTCAACTTTAAAACTCACTTCTCACATCATTAAGAAAGTATATCCCTCTCCACAACATTGGGAACAGCGCATTGACTTGGAAATTTTTCTAAGTCCAAACTAAGATATGCATGACTTAGTCTTTAACCCGAGCGAGCAGTCTGGTAGGCTCAACCAGAAATCCGAACTAAGATATGTATGGCTTAGTCTTTAACCCGAGCTAGCAGTCTGGAAGGATCAACCAGAGATTCGAACTAAGATATGCATGGCTTAGTCTTTAACCCGAGCTAGCAGTCTGATAGGCTCAACCAGAAATCCGAACTAAGATATGCATGATATACATCATTTGATTTTTTGTAAGCTCCAATTATTTCCCTTTTTGTTTCAGAAATGAGGAAATGATACGCAATCGTTGTCCTCAACTCACCGAATTGTTCTATTTGACGAGAAATGGTGGACAATTTCTGACAACCGATCCAACTGAGAAATTTCGAATGCAAACGCTTGGATGGGTTAGTTGAAATTGTGCAAAATAACAAGATATAAAAATGATTTTAAAGAAAATCAAATCTTTAAGATATTGCAGCTTTTTGAATAATCGAGCTATTGGGTTGGTGAATTGAAAACCGCCGGCTATTGTCATATGTGACAGTTTGAGCACTTTCCTCAAAAGAAACCCATTTGGTGTCAATGGAAAAGTTGTAGAGAATCAAAAATCAAGCTTATATCCAAATTTTCAGAACGATTCAAGAAACTGGTTTTCAAGAAATGCGAAATTTACGAGTTTTCACAAAACTTGCAAGAAAACCTGCATTTTAAGCGAAACTACTAAGTGTATCTTTTTGGAAATTTGGCTATAAGCCTAATTTTTAATTCTCTACAACTTTTCTATTGACACTAAAATGGGTTTCTTTTGAAGAAAGTGCTCAAACTGGGACATCTCCAGTCCTCCATCTCGAGTCCATCTTTGGGTCTCACACTTGTCTCACACACAAACCGAAATCCTACTACGAAAGAGGAATCCGCAAAATCCCTGTAAAATGGGCAGAAGGCGTCAATAATAATGAAAATTATTTCGAATGAATTCATGGTTTTAGGTTCAATAAATTTTAGTTCAAAGTCCGGCAGTTTTCAATTCACCAACCCAATATTTTCTAGAGAGAAGTCGCTTCGATTGGAATGTGCGTTCGTCAACCGGGAGCTTGCGGTAAAAATTACACAATAATATCTTTAAGATCTAAGATTTTGACTAAAAAAAACTGATAATTCTGTCAGAAAAAAGATATCGGATCGAAAGTAAAAGACATTAATTGAAAAGGAAAGTATTTAATATTCCTTAGATTGAAACATTTTCTTTTTTTTCTTCTTTGCTTTTGAAAAAAAATGAGCTCAAGGATTAGAATAATAATACTTTATTCAAACGATAAAGTGAAAGTGAATCTAAAGATTTTCTTTGTATTTATTTAAGTTCTTTCTTTTTAACCAATATTTATTTTCAGCTTTTTATTCTCCCAGAAAACTAGTGATTACTGAAATGTGATGAGCAAGTTAGCAAGCAAGTTAGCAAGTAGTTATTACTTAAGCACGAACGCATTTCGCCTTGTCGACGATGAAACTTATTTTTTTTATGATATAATACAATCACTCAACCTCTTTCAGGAGCCACCTCTCCGCTTCTCGAGGCTCGGAAAAGCTTTGACGATTTCATCTACATGACGAATCGGAATGAGTTCATGAAATTTTTAGCTACCACCCCGCAATATCAAGCAAAATCCGAAATGGGCGTTTGTTATGTTTGGTGAAGAATGAATGTTGGAATAGATTTTGAAGCATATCAGAAAATCCATACACCAACTCAATTTATATTGTAAAACTTATAAAAAAAGATTTATTGACACGAATAATGTGGTATAAACAATATACAAGCATATTGTAAAATCTAAGAAAGAAAAACTCATGTGAAAAAAAAAACAATAATCTAGCAGGCGGGATTGAACCCTTGACCCTCTGACTAAGACTCTTAGCCAGTCGGCTATGGAGACCTATTGACGGGTAAGTTCTTTGAGTGGTTTATTAATAGGCCTTCTCATTATGACTGGCTGTCAAAGAGGAAGCAAGAATTTTTATCATAAAAAAGTCAGGATTTACTTGATGATCTACCAAAGTGCAAGAAAAATCAAATAGATTTTAATGTTAAGTAATCTTTGTGGATACAACTGCAAAATCTTAACCTTTACGGTAGCTGGAGCACCTTCACAAACGGTGCTCCAGCTACCGTAACCCGAGCAGCCCAGACGGGAAAAAATTAACAGAAACGCAGAGAGATTCGCCCATAATTGGAATGAAATTAGCAAAAAGACTTTGAAACACTTGGACAAAAAGAAAGAATATTTAATATTTATTAAATATTTAAATATTTACTTCTACGATTCACTTGGCTATAAATTTCTTCGATTTCTTTCAATGATGAGCAAAACCTCACCACCAAACGGCCCACCACCACAGAAAAAAGCCCGGACAACAAAGCATCCATTCGGGAATCCATTCTACGCAAGGTGAATTTGATTTGAAAAAATCTATTGCAGAAATTTGAAAGAATTTGAAAGAATTGGAAAGAATTCATGTAAAAATCTATTGTATATTGATCTGGGCAAGTTGACTTACGAAAAAGCTCACCTACAACGATTAATTTCTTGAGTTTATATCAAAAACTGCTCAATTTTGAAACTAAGCTTTTTGAGTTCTTAATTAAGAAAATTATCAGAAAAAACTTAGCCAAGATTTTCATGCAGAAGATTTTCTAGTTTAGATTTTCTTAGCTCTAGACTTACAACTAGATTTGTTCTTATTTCATTTTTATGAAATGTACTTAAAAAGCTGCTTACAGTGTTGCAATTGATCTTTGAAGCGCTTGGAAAAAGCCCTTCCATTTGATATTCAATTTTATATTGAGACTTTAATTGCATAGCAAGAAAGACATAATTAAAAAGGCATCGATTGTCGTTTTGTACACTAAACTTAATAAAATATACCGTAAATACTGTCATAGTACCCCGTCCCCCATAATGACGGTGCGGAGTGTTGCGTAGTCTAGCTTTGAACGAGTTTTTCTCGACACTGGTTTATGCTACAATGCGCGCTTAGGAATCAAAAAATAGCCCTGAATTTCAGCTATTTTTTGATACCAAAGACGCATTTTTTGAAAGTACGAACACTTTGAAAAAAATAAAATACTAAAAAACTTTTGCGACTACACGACTGTACGAGGGGGAGGGGTACTTTTACAGTATTTACGGTAGGTTTTTCGGATCTAAACAAGCGTTGCTAAGCTTATTGTTGTGAGAGAAGCTTTTAAAACACTTGACGCTTGACGTCAAGTATCCCACCCCCATAATGACGGTGCGGAGTGTTGCGTAGTCTAGCTTTGAACGAGTTTTTCTCGACACTGGTTTATGCTACAATGCGCGCTTAGGAATCAAAAAATAGCCCTGAATTTCAGCTATTTTTTGATACCAAAGACGCATTTTTTGAAAGTACGAACACTTTGAAAAAAATAAAATACTAAAAAACTTTTGCGACTACACGACTGTACGAGGGGGGTGGGGTACTTTTACAGTATTTACGGTAAGTTATTAAGTTGTGATTAACATGAGTAAATTTCAAATCTCAATTAATAAGCCGCAAAACTCGGCAGCCAGATCCTTTAAATTGAAACATCTTTTCTTGTAATTGCTTTTCATTTCAAAATCACAAAAACAGATTACCTTTGAAGTACAATTTGCATAGAAAATTTTTATTTACTTAAAAAATCTACTTAAAGTCTGATAATCAACAACTAAGCGTCAACAATTGATCGTTCAATCCAAACTCTTCAATTTAAAACCTTTAAATTATAAGCTCATCAAGTAAAACTCAATTTACGAACTTTTTTCGAGTATTCTTTCATAAATTAAAAGGTCAATAAACAGATTAATTAACTGCAAGAAAAGATTCAAAGTAAAATAAGCCTGATTTGATTGATTCTCAAAGATTCTCCATTTGATTCATAGTGATTAATCCTCAAGCCTCATCCTCAAGCCACTCAAGTTCAACTAAGCTTTTCATTCTGATCTACAGCTTCATTTATTTTAATTATTTAAGTAACAAACTGTTGTTCATTGCAAGATTAAACACCAAAATTTCTTTATTTTTTCAGACTTACCAAGTTTTTGTTGGGATCGAAAGAGGAGGCGATCGAGGGAATAAAGAAATGCTGTGAAGAGGTTTTCATTTAATCAAAAGTGCTTTTAAAATGTTTGACTTTTCAGATTGCTGATTATAAAAAGGCTCATCCAGAAGAAAGTTTGTGTGATTCGGGCGATGAAATCGGAGATGCGACAAACAACAGATCGAACACGCAAACGAAGAAAATGTTTGCTGGGACAAGCCAGGAAAGGTAAGGAAAGCCAGGAAAGCAAATCTACCACTGGAATAATCTATTTTCAAAACTTTAAGCCATTTTTATATTTGATAATAAATTCCTATCATTTTCCAGACTCCGTTTGAAGCAATTGGAAGTGATTCCCGAGCGATCGTTGAAGAAAACCCCGATGAGTCGATCAGTGGTGAGGCCAATTTAAGACTCGTTTTTTCTGACCCCGCCGCCAAGCGAACTTAGCGCAATTAGCAGGCTCCTTGTCTAGCGCCCATACGATCCGGGTTCGACCCACCATACTGCCAGTTAACTATGGTTTTTTGATTTTTTTTTTTTCTTTCTTTTTTCCTCTTTGACACAACTATATTATATTTAAAGACTTTTCTTAAGAAATTTCAGTTTTTTGGCTTAAAGACGATTGAGAAAAAGCCTGTACAGACGGATCGACAGATATATAATAGATTGTAAGCAAGAGAAAACAATAATTAGGTCTTGAGGCACCAGGTAGTATCAGGAAATTTTACTATCGATGCTAGACACAGACAAAATTATGAACTAGACCTTCAATTTGGTCGAGTTTTTTTGAACCTAGAGGATTGCCTAGGATCCCAGTAAAATAACTGTTTTACATGTAAGTACAGTTAAATATTCTTAAGCTTATAAGCCAATTGAATCTCGGGGTTGGGACCTTCTAAACACCAGCTGAGAAAGTGAATAGCGCAAATCGATTGGCCGACCTCGAAAATCTCAGGGTACAAATTCACAGCCAAATATCTTCTTTTTGTGCCATCAACAAAGCAAAAGAGAAATCTAAATGACTGCGAGATGTTCTTTGTGTGGCCGCATAATCGCTCACTATCTGGCATAGGACCTTCCCTTTTGGAGTCAGTAAAGAAGAGCAAAGCCTTTTTTCACACCGGTTTTGATTGCTTTTCAATTTTCCGATTCTCTGATCAAAAAACAGAGCAGATTGAATGTAAATTGGTCATCTTTTTCTTTTAAAATCCGATAATCTTTAAGTGAACTTGTTATTGAACAGAGCCATAATGGCTCTAATAGCCGTAATGGCTCTAATAGCCGTAATGGCTCTAATAGCCGTAATGGCTATTAGCCGTAATGGTGAACAAAACCGTAATGGCGAACAAAGCCCTAATGGCTCTAATAGCCGTAATGGCTCTAATAGCCGTAATGGCTATTAGCCATAATGGTGAACAAAGCCGTAATGACTCTAAATCTCTAAATCATAAAACTTCATAACATTCTTGCAGGGTTCTCTACCCGAACCAAAAGACGAATCGTCGAGATCGGCCGAGAATTCGGACGATTCCGACAGTGAAACACTGACGATAAATGAAAGAAGTGAAAGGAAATGCGTCTCATGCTCGATTTCGAAATTCTCCCCATACGATCAATTGTTGCAATGTCACACGTGTAAAGAGGTCTGATCGAACTAGCTGATCCACAGATTCTACTCTATTTCTTGTCATTTTGAATTTAAAAATCTAAAAAATCAATTTCCAGCACATGCACATGAAATGCAACAAGCCCGAGATCACGAAAGAGCAATCGAAAGATCCACGATTTCATTTCATTTGCAGTGAATGCTTGGCGAATGAGGTGGAAAAGGTTTGCTTCAATGAAAATTCTATATTTTTAGATGTAATATTTCAATTTAGATTTAGATTTATAAAGCTGATCAACTTCTTGAAAAGTTTAGCACATTTAATAGACTTTTTTTCAGCGGTCAGCCCCCGATAATTCGAAATCCGAGTCGTTGAAGGTGCAAAAGGTGGGTGTTTGAGACTTTAAAATCGTTTCGATCCATTGAATTCCTTGCTTTATAGGCTAAGAAAACGATGGTAAAACTTTTGAAACATGTTTTACCTTTAAAAAAAGACTATCAACTTACATAAATTATCTTTAACTTTAAACGAAATTCGAAAATCACTGAGAAAAGCTCACTCGATTTGATCGAGAGGCTTTTAAGGATTGGCAAAAATTTTTAATCACAACAGGCAGAGATTGATTTTTCTAAAATTAAGGACTAATTCTTTAGCAAATTAAATGACAGCTTAAATTAATAGCTGGCTTAATTAAATTCAAATTATCGTATTTTCTCTAATCGTAGTGCACCCCGCTGAGCCGAGTTGATGACTATTTGACGGTTTCCAAGCTTTTGCAGAAGCTCAACACTCAAATCCCCCAAAGCTCAAGATAGTCAGACAGTCTTGATGCTGGCTTCTGACCTGGCTGACTGATCTTAGGGCCGGATTGACAAATTTCTGATGATCAGCAATAACACCGTATTTTCCCTAATCTGGAAATCTGGAAATTGATGAATACCGTATTTTCTCTAATAGTAGTGCACTTCGGCGAGCCGAGTTGGTGGCTATTTTACGACTTCCAAGCTTTTGCAGAAGCTCAACACTCAAATCCCCCACTAGATCTCATCGTCAGCTACATTTCCCGACCCCACATTGTTAGGTTCTGATAAGCGGTTCTCGAGATACGGTTCTTGAATTTAGGCGACGCTTAGGGTGCACTACTATTAGAGAAAATACGGTAAAATGATTAATTCAGATGCCTCCGATGCCAACTCCAGCTTCTCGTGTCCCTGTCGACTTTAATCAGAAATTGGCTGAGTTTAAAGCAAAGAAAAGTAAGTGGAAAAGGAAATTCGGGGGAATTTTTTGAATCTAGCAATAATTTTAGTTGAAAACTTTTACTTTATAAATAAGTTTTTGCTTAAAAATAAAACTGCAATCAGATTCATAACTTTAATGGCTTTTTTGATGAATTTGCGCGTTTAATTTTCGGCAAAAGTATGCAAAAAAAAGGAAAAAAGGAGATTTGGAGAGAAAAAATTTGCTTAAAAATGAGGTAATTATATTCTAAATTTTGAAATTTGCAAAAAAATAAATGAGAATAAAATTAGGAAAAAATAGCAAATGGGCTTTTGGGAGTGGGACAAATGCGACCTTCTTTTTGCGCACCCGGACATTTGCGCACCTTTTTTTCCGCACCTTGCCCATTAACGCACCTTTTTTCGCGTTTTAAAAAAGCTCTAAAAAGCTAATATTAACCAATTTCTATTCCAAAAGTTGTTTTTCTAGGTAATTTTAGGGCGTAGAATCGAAATTTTGGCATATCAGAGCTTGTGGAAGCGAACGGACGGAGTTATACAAAGAGAAAAATCAACAATTTGAAATTTCTGTAATTTGATCTAGCCGTTTTGTCTTTCAGATTGGTTCCACAAGCTCTGATATGTCAAAATTTCGATTCTACGCCCTAAAATTACCTAGAAAAACAACTTTTGGAATATTGGGTTGGGGAGAATGAGTCGGCGCCGAAAATCAAAAAAAATGTCTAAAACTTCTATTCGACTTCGTCAAATAATATGCGTTTGATATGAGTAGAATGGTTAACTAATTCTCTACAAAATGACATTTAAAAGAAAATTCAAACAGCGCCTCCGCTCAAGAAAAAGCCATTTTTTCACAAAAACTACAAACTGTGATGTAGAAAAAATCATTGGTGGGATCTTCCTGCAAATTTGGCAACTTAAGTAATTCAATGTGCTCTATCTTTTTTATATAAACACCAAAGAAGGTTTATGTGAAAGAAACTGTTCAAATGATGAGTCGGACTCTTTGCCATTTTAACCAGCTGCTTTTGGAAGTTCATAAACTCCACGAAAGAAAAGCTTTGTGGAATCTCTCAAAAGTCATTTTGTAGAGAAATAGTGGATCCTTTTGATGAAACCAAACGTATGTTTTAGGAAGGCTTTATGTGTGCAAAAAGTCCCTTTAAAGTTTGGCGCCGACTCATTCTCCCCAACCCAATAGAAATTGGTTAATATTAGCTTTTTAGAGCTTTTTTAAAACGCGAAAAAAGGGGCGCTAATGGGCAAGATGCGGAAAAAAAGGTGCGCAAATGTCCGGGTGCGCAAAAAAAACTTCGCATTTGTCCCACTCCCGGACTTTTGAGATTTTTTTTTTCAAAAACTTTCGAAATGAAATTTCACTTTTCAAACCACCATCGCCCGCTATTTTTTCCCCTAATTTTAATGTCATTTATTTCTTTGTTATTGTTATTTCTTTCTTATATTTATAGCTAAAATTTCTAGCAAAATAGCTAAAAATGAACTTAAATTTTTAAACGAAGCAATCATTTTTTTCTTTTACGTTGAGATCTTTTCAGATCTTACATTGAAATCTTTTCAGATCTTCTCGGCAACAACAGTAAAAGTGCTACAATTCTACTTAAAAAGTGATTTGATCATTGTTTTGTTTTGTTTTGTTTTGTTTTAAATTGTTTTAAGAGTAAACAGTAAACAGTTTTGTAAACAAGTTTTTTATATTTGATAAACGCTCGTGTAAACAAACACAAAACGTTTATTGCACTTTTTTTTATTGAAAAGAAAAGATCAAAATGGAATCAGATTTGAAGAAGAGATCGACAGGAATACAGTAATTTGCATGGAAATTTGGAGAAGATTACGGTAGCTAGAAATGAGACAAAAATGAAATGAAATTGGGTACAAGCACAATAGAAAAACGAGGAATTTTGAGGGAAATTTTGAAGAAAAAATGAAACAAAACTAGGATTTCCTTTTTGAACCATCGATCTGATGAGGGAATTATTTGCCGAATCTGTAATGGAAAATGATTAAATCTGTAATGGAAAATTTCAATTCAATTCAATCCAATTCACTTTCATTCAAGCGCTTTTTAAATTTCAATGAATTGTAGAAGTTGAAAACGGGAAGTTTTTGGGTAAAGCCCACGATTCCGCCATAAAACACTTTTCAATTGAATTGTTGTTTTGTTTGTTGTTGTTTGTTGTTGTTTGTCAATTGTTTTTCAGTTGAAATCAATTACCGTAAATACTGTAAAAGTACCGAACCCCCCCTCGTACAGTCGCGTAGTCGCAAAAGTTTTTTAGTATTTCATTTTTTGCAAAGCGCCCGTACTTTCAAAAAATGCGTCTTTGGTATCAAAAAAATAGCCCTGAATTTCAGCTATTTTTTGATACCTAAGCGCGCATTGTAGCATAAACCAGTGTCGAGAAAAACTCGCTCAAAGCTAGACTACGCAACATTGCGCACCGTCATTATGGGGGACGGGGTACTATTACAGTATTTAGGCATTTGCCAGATAGTTTTTTCAAAAAAAAAGCTCTTACTACAAATTCTCGATCATCCTGTATTTTTATTTTCATTTCCATTTTATTTTCACCTCATATAGGCGCTTTTTCTTTTCTCCATATCCATCGGTTCCATTTCGCCCATTTGCTCCATCGGGGATCGCTTTCCGAAGCTGGAAATCAATCTTTCAAAGTTGACAATTCATTATGGCTTTATGATAATTAAGAAACACGTTAAACATTTTTAAAATTCTGTTTATATTGGACTGTTTATAACTTACGAATTGGACAAATGCGCACCACTTTGTCGATCGTACAGTCACGGAAAAACGCTTTAAGAGCTACGTGGAGAGTAGAGGCTCAGAGTAGAACTATGGTCTTGAAACCTTGATAAACATGGGTGTTAAAGTTGAAACCTGTATTATCATGTTTGTCAAGATTTCAAGACCTTAGCTCTACTCTGAACCGCGTTTTTCCGCGACTGTACCATCGGCGAGAAAGTGAGCATTTACCCCTTAACTTTGCTGTAGACACTATATGATTCTTTAAATTGAAATCTGTATGAAATTAAAAACTTTTTGTGATCAAGAATCAATCAATCAATCAGATGTTTTCTTGGGGATTTCAAGAGTCCAACAAGTCCGATAAATTCACTTTCTGATCCAACTATGAATGACGCTTATTCATTTATATTGCTGTTATTATAGGAAAATTTTTTCAAAGTTGATTAGATTAGGAAACAAAATTGAAAGATGATCTTTGAAAAAATTCAATAATTCATTCATTGAATTGTGTTCAAACCATCGAAATTTCGTGAATACCGTATTTTCTCTAATAGTAGTGCACCCTGAGCGTCGCCAAATTCCTCGAAATCTCGAGAACCGCTAATCAGAACCTATCGATGTGGGGTCGGAAAATGTAGCTAACGATGAGAACTAGTGGGGGATTAGAGTGTTGAGCTTCTGCAAAAACTTGGAAATCGTAAAATAGTCACCAACTCGGCTCGCCGAAGTGCACTACTATTAGAGAAAATACGGTATTCATCAATTTCCAGATTTCCAGATTTCCTTATTCTTTTCACTTCCACTCACCGCATGTATGCACTCTTTCTCTTGCCGAATCTCATATAAGCCGATTTGCGCTTCTCCATGTCCATCATCTCCTCATCGAATTGCTCCGGATCGGATCGTTTACCGAATCTAAAACGATTTAGATTAGATTAGATTAGATTAGATTCAAAATTTCTAAAATAATTCATAAACTTTTAAGATTTTCTAATCATTGCTAAAGGATGCTTTTGATAAAAATGAAGATTTAATGATTCAATTTGCTTTTTACATTTCGTTGCCGATAAAGTTTACATTTACACTTTACACCTTACATTTACATTTACATTCAGACTCTCGATTCAACGATTCTAAAAAATGCCCTAAATGGCCAACGATTGGGCAGCTGGCTGTGCAGCTACGCAGAAGCCAAGAACATTTTTTAGAATTTCGAAATTGCTGTGTCGGTTTCAAAAACAAACTCTTTTATGCACCTATAATTATGGGCTTCTCTGTAAATTTCATCTCTGGCGAATAGTTTCATCAACTATTCGCCAACTTAACTTCTATTTTTGTCATCTCAGAATGAAACTAAGCAAAAAAAAAAAAGTGAAACTGTTCTTTCAGAGTGAAATCCCCTATGAGCCATCCAGCGCCATCAACAAAAGTTGCTATTTATCAATTTTTATTTATATTTTTTGTTTTACTTTACTCTACTCTTTATAAAAAGACTCTTTTGATGTAAAATCTCTTAAATTCACTAGTTTTTTTTGCTAATTTTCTATAAAATTATGCTATTAATTTAACTAATAGGTTGATGCATAAGTCTTTTCGTTTTTTTCGTACTTCTGTTAAAAAGTAACAAATTCACCAATTAATCTATAGTTTGCTCTATAAAAAAAGTGTTTTTTTGTTCAATTTGCATCTTTTTAAATGAATTTCGGTTCACTTTCAAGCAAATTCGAGAGTGAAAAACGCCTTTTTCGTAAAAATCTATAAAAAACTCTACGGAAAAATTGGCTGAATGAATTTCTCTGAAATTTTGGCGAAATATCAAACGTTTTTTTTCTCTACCTTTTATCTATTGACACGAAGATAGGTTTTCTTTAGCTAAGGTGTCTAAACCGCATCATCGAGTTAGCCCTTTTTGACTACCCGACTTCATACTCTCAAGAAAATCCAGGCATTCAATATTTTTAAACCCGTTTTAATGTTATTTTGCAGAAAAATAATTGGTTTTTCTAATGAAATCAACCGTAGTTTAATTCGTGCATTTGTTGGCTTGAAACGGCAGACGAAAAGGAACAAAAACACTTATGCATCAACCTAATATAATATTTTGTACTTTTATTATTGAATGAATTCGCTTTTAAAGAATTCAAGCTGGCAGTATTTTCAATTAACCACCTGCGATTATTTTCAACTAACCACCTGCGATTATTTTCAATCTTTGCACCGTTTAGCTGAACACTTTGAAACCGAAATTTTTGTTGTTTTGTTAATGAAAATTTTCGGCTTTCTGATTTGTCTTGAAAGTTTTACATTCTAAAATTGATTCTAGAATTGATTCAAGAATTGATTTTCTTTTCTTTTCTTGTTGTACCTCATGTAGGCACTTTTTCTCTTTTCCATTTCCATTCCATCGGCTCCCATTTCTGGATCGGATCGCCCGAATCGCATGTACGCCGATTTACGCTTAGCCATTTCTGAAAAGTTTTCCATTTCCCTAATCATTTCAATTTTCATTCATATACACTAGCGAAGGTTTTTCATTTCATTTGCTTTTAGTTTTCCTGAACTTTCACTTTGACATGTTCCCCGAGTAAGGTATAAGGCCCCCTCTGGCGGCATTGCGACGCCCTTGTAAAGCTGTAAGAAAGGCCAGAAGTCTAGGTAATCAAAGATCAGAGTAAAGCGTAAGGCCCTGTCCTGGGGTACGCAATGGGATATGTGTCAGTGTAGCTCATTGATAGAGCGTTCGCCCGATAGGGAAGAGGCGGCGGGTTCGAATCCCGGCGCCGACCATGTTTTGTATTCCTAGCTCCATAAAAGGACCGGCGTGTCTAAGTCCCCATTTGATGGGGATCTTTGAGAAGGGTTTTTCTCAAAGATTCCTAAACCCGAAATTGAAGTGCTTCTCCTTTTCGCTCATTTAAATAATCTCGGGAAATTTTCCGAGTTCAATTTCACGGGAAACGGATTGAGTTTCCGGGGAAATGGGCCGGCAGTGATTTCACTAAATTTTCTGTTAAACTGTGGGAAAACGGGTGAACGATAGGCGAACTGGCTCCACGAATTTAAATAGGTACAGAGACAGTGACTTGTCAATGATGTCAATTGAGGTTACAGTGACTTGTCAATTGACTCATATGATTGATTTATATGATTTACTTATAACTTTTTAACCAATCCAAGTTATAGGCTTTAGTTTTTGTGCCAAAACAAACCCTCAAACGCTGAGGTATCGGGCGCGAATTCTTGTTGAAAAGCAAGGATGACAGAGAGGGAAGCCGCCACGCATAAAATTATACGATTCATTATTGAATATTTTTCGAAGAATAGGTCCTCTTTCTGTAGATTACCTGAAAATTGAAAAGCAATTGATGAATCGTAAAGAAAAAGCTTGAACAAGTTATAAAAAAGTGATTCAAAGTGATTTCGGCGAATCAAAGAGGATTGATTCTCATCAATCCATACAATTGTAAGCGGTGAACGACTTTGGGAACAGTTTTTAAGTTTTAAACTCTTTAGAAAATTTTAAATTTTATAAGTTTTCTGATAGGAATAGTTTGAAACAAAGAAATTTCGAAAAGAACACAAAAATGAGTCACTGAAGGGCTTCTGGCTTCACTGAATGGCTCCTGGCTTCACTGAATATTTCATCTACGGCTTGTTTCCCGTTTAAGCCAAAAAATCGTCACTATTTCGCGGAAACTTTTTACTTTTATTATAACAGAAATGAGATTGATTCAAAGATTTTAATTGTGATCCAGTTTTCTTGAATCAATCGGCCAGCTGATGGCTTTTTGTCATGGGGATTTCAAGAGTCCAACAAGTTAACAAAAAAACAAGTTCAATGCACTTTCTGAGCCAACTATGAAACTGGTAGCAAGAGTACAAAGCGAATAATAACCAGTTCTGGTCAAGGTCCTTCCAATCGAACCAAGCCAGGCCTGGCTTCTAGCAGACTAAGCTAACAATAAGACTCCAGCTAAGCCAGCTCAGATCTAATTCCTGGCTCTGGGGCTGAGCTCTGAAACTATGAGTCTAGCTAAACATCATAAACTGATTTATAGCTGGGAAAATCAGCATTGTAGACATGAAATTAGAGTTCCTCTTTATGAGAAAGACATTCCCCAATCGGAATCCCAGTGATTTATCCCTTTTGTCCCCTTTTCTTTCCTTTTTTTTTCATCTCCAAGGCAAGAAATTTCCCATTCTTTACATAGACACACAGCATATTTCCAAACAAACATCTAGCTGTTCCTATGAATATTGAGAAAAATGAAAAAGAGGGAAAAATGAACCGATTCCTCGCATAATTGCCTTGTTTTCTCGATTATCGAACATTTCATACACGCCCCGCCCCTTTTTGCCATTGGCAATCTAAATTTGAGCTCAAATTTCTTGGTATTGGCTTGTCCAATTGAAATAGTTTTTGTACCAATCGATAGAAAAAAGACTTGGCTCATTCAATGATATCAATAATTTATAAATTCGACGGTCCAACACCAAGAAATCTGAGCTCAAAGTTCGATTGCTAATGGGAAAAGGTGGGACAAATGTCCCACAATCCGTAGCAAAAGGGGCACGCCGACGGACCTTTTATACGCTTTGCCCCCTTTGCCATTGGAAATCCAACTTTGAGCTCAGATTTCTTGGTGTTGAGCTGTTCAATTTATAAATTGTTGGTATCATTAGATGCGCTAAATCTTTCTCTGTCGATTGGTGCAAAAACTATTTAAATTGAACAGCCCAACACCGGCTGTGTTGAATGACTGATTGGCCAAGAGGTGGGTGCCATTGGCATGTGGGGCATTGGTGAGGGTACACTGACCGGTACTCTTGGGTAGAAAGTCTGTGAAGGTCCGGTTGCCGGTGTTACTAATGGAACCGAGCTTAAAGTTGGATGTTCAAATGTTCCACAATCCGTTTTCCCGGCTTTTGGTAAGTGAATGATTAAAGAAAAATTTGAAACGGTAATATCAAAAAAGTTGGGAGTCTACTGTATAGAAGATGATGAAAACTTTGGCCAAGAAATGCAAAAAGATAAAATATTCATTGAATACTGATTGAATTGAGAGAAAATGACGTTCTCAAAGCCATTTTCTTGGGCGAGCTCCAAAATGAGGATTGGGTTGGCCGTTTTGGAGAAGCTTTTTTCTCATTTCTTTTCCATTTCTTTTCTCGTCGACAAATTGAAACAATTTGATCGGCCGGTTGGTTGGGAACGGCTCTCTCTTTTTTTTGCCATAAAACAGATAAGTTTTCCAGAAGAATTACAAGAAATTCGGAGATATTTTGAGTGGTTGGGGTTGCCTTGGTTTTTAACTTCATTTCGCGACGAGATAACGAATTTTTGGAATTTTGGAATTTTGGAAAAACGTCAATGAAATGCCAATAAATACGGTATCGTATAGGGAATTGGAAGGAAAAAAACGAGAATCAAATGAACATTGAGCTTTAGTATTGTACTGGTTTAGAAAAAAAAAAAAACTTTAATGGGGAATTTGGACAGGAAAAAGTGGATCATTTCAATTGAAAATCGGGAAATCTTGCTAAAGAAAGGAAAACAAATCTAATTTTAAGAAGTTTCCAAGGGTGGGACAAATGCTACCTTTTTTTGCGCACCTGGACATTTGCGCACCTTTTTTTTGCTGGAAAAGGCCTTAGGCAAGGCCATAGAGCTTCAAAAATGTTTTCATAGAAGGGAATCGTATGCGTAGATTCAGAATTTCGATAAATCAGACCTCACTGACACGTCAAATTTGGGCTAAAAGGCAAAAACTACGCAACTTAACGCTTTTCCGCAGTTTTTGCCTTTTAGCCCAAATTTGACGTGTCAGCGAGATCTGATTTGTCAAAATTCGGAATCTACGCATACGATTCCCTTATATGGAAATATTTTCGAAGCTCTATGGCCTTGCCTAAGGCCTTTTCTAGCAAAAAAAGGTACGCAAATGTCCAGGTGCGCAAAAGAAAGGTCGCATTTCCCACCATCAAAGTTTTCTTCATTAAACTATTCAAATTTCTTTGAAAACGGATTTTCAATTTGGATTTGATTTCAAGAAGACAAATCTACTTTAGATCTAAAAAATTTCAAGCCAAAATCAAGCCAGAGTTTAAGAGAGTTTTCAAACTTTCAACTTTAACAACTTGACAACTAAGAACTTTAAACAACTAACAACAACTAACAACTGATTGATAACAACTAACAACAACTAACAACTAACAACTTTTTGAACAAAGAAATCAACTTATTTGAAACTTTTTTGAAATCTAAGTGATATCATTGAAATTCAAGTAAAATTAAAGTTTATTTGTTTCAAAAAAACGTGACTTGACTCACGAAAAATCCTCTAGAATCGAAAAATCCTCCTGAATGAGACAAAATTTTGAATGCTATTTGATTGGGATGAGAGCAGAGGATTTCCCAGGGAAAAATGAGTCTATTCTATAATTTTGTGCTTCCGTGTATGATAAATTCTTTAGAATGATAGAGAAAAAAATGAATTTCTCAATTTTTAGGCTTCATAAGACTTCTTCGAATCATCTTTGACGTGAATGGGAAAAATCGAGGATTTCCGGATTTGGGAAAGAAATTAAATTGGAGAAATTAATATTCTAAGGATACGGGGATACAAAAAGTGAGGCTACAAAAGTACTCAGGGGTTTCCAAAGTTCTCGAGATCAACTAGCGGAATAATATTTTTGAGGAAAATTTGTTGGGCTTCTTCTTTTTGGTGATGAACGTTTACTTGCCCAGAACTGTTTATGAATGATCGCCATGCAAACATTTCCCATCTAGCACACTAAAGAGCATTGAAGGGGAATTGATGGGAAAAACTATAGGTTAATTGGTAAATTTGTTGTTTTTTAAGGAAAAGGAATGAAAACGAATTTCTGGACAGCCTAATCTTGTAGGCTTGTAGAACAAGGCTTGTAGATAGGCTTGTAGAACAAGGCTTGTAGATAGGCTTGTAGAACAAGGCTTGTAGATAGGCTTGTAGAACAAGGCTTGTAGATAGGCTTGTAGAACAAGGCTTGTAGACAGGCTTGTAGAACAAGGCTTGTAGATAGGCTTGTAGAACAAGGCTTGTAGACAGGCTTGTAGACAGGCTTGTAGATCGGCTTGTAGAACAAGGTTTGTAGACAGACTTGGAGACAGGCTTGTAGACAGGCTTGTAGAACAAGGCTTGTAGATAGGCTTGTGGAACAAGGCTTGTAGACAGGCTTGTGGAACAAGGCTTGTAGACAGGCTTGTAGGCAGGTTTGTAGACAGGCTTGTAGACAGGCTTGTAGAACAAGGCTTGTAGACAGGCTTGTAGAACAAGGCTTGTAGACAGGCTTGTGGAACAAGTCAGTTTCAGTATGCCAAATAAAATGTTTACTTGACACCTGACACACACACTACTTGACAAATGTTTACTTGACGTAATACTGTAACGCAGTGCTGTAAGACAATACTGTAAGACAATAGACAGCACTGTAAGACAATATAATGAAGTGACAGTTGCTGATAAGCCATAAATAACGCTCATGCACTTCGAACATCGAGAGAACTTTGATCTCTTTTAAATGTCGACAAATAACTACAAATTTATGGGAAAAATGAAAAGTTTTTGCCTACAAAGCACAAAATGACTTGAGCTTAAAATAAATGAGTTGCTGGTTTGACTGGTGAGACAAGTACAGTTATCTGCTGGCAAAAATCATCTAAATGATCATCTTAAAAAAACGCGAAGAACTACACCGATCGCCTAATCTTACAGTAGATAAAAGCCTCATAAAAATCCCTCTAAACTTTCCCTAGAATGAATAATCAGTTGTTTTTTCAAAAGTTCAATTCCTGAGAATCCCAAAATCTTCTTGAAAATCCGTTTCTTTTTCTGAAAATCAGAGCAAATTGAGGGCGAAAATTGGGCAGAAAAAACCCGAGAAATTCGAATGGATTTTGGGGAGGATTTTGAAAAAAAAACGAATTGGAAAAGAAAAGAAAAAGAGATTTTGGGAAGAGTTCTTTGCATGTTGATGGATTGATGACAATTACGATGGAGAAAAAAATGGGGAAAAGAAAGAAATTCGATCGGCGGAATGACGATTGAAATTGAGGGAAACTGAAGGAAATTTACATTAATTTTTGCGGAGAGATTTCGGGATGATCAAAAAGAAAGTTATTGAGGTCATAAAGGGGGAACTTTTTTGATGATCTAAGGCAAAACGCAAGTCACCTACAGTACTCGACAAAAGATTATAGCCTCGCGAATTTTGTCTCCATCTTTGACGAGCTATAACTCCGAGTTTTTCCATTGTAGTTT